TAGGCCTATATATATATATATATACCCCACTAGAACCCAAACTGCAGTTTGACGCACCTCTTGATTCTATACGGCATAGTTTATTTGATTTGGCTGTCACTATTATTTGATGCATTTCTTAATTGAGCACGTCCATCTCCACCATCTCTCGAGTCTCCAACAAAGGGCCATGCATCAATCCCATACAATTATTGTTCTAACTACTACTACAACTAAGCAGGTATATTTGAGCTTCTCTCTTCTCATGCAGTTGGAACACACCATGCCTGGGATTCGAACCCTGGCCCTAACTGACCCCGCATCTTTTTTTGGAGCCGACCACTCCAACCACCAAAAACCCTGGGAAGTTGCTTTAAAATGAGGCAAGATCGATGCATCCCCATTAAACATGACAATGCCACACGTATCCTTCTCCTATTTATAATTATGTCATTTGTAACATAGTATCAAGATTGGACTTGGTTGGGTGTTTTGATTGATCGAATTGTTGATTGGTATTTTGGTTGGTGTGGTTTCAAGTAAAAGTGGAGTTCGATTGAAAACCAGTCAAAATTGTTGACCGTGACGCCATGTTTGTAGGAGAAAAAGAGTTACGTGATAGGGAGTTTCCTATATTCACGAGATTAAAGTGAAGCCATTATTTTAAAAAAAAAAATTGTTTCATGCAGTCAGGACCTCATTTTTACATTTATAGTCTTTAGAGGTATAAAGCATTCATCTTAAAGATGTATGTAAATAGGTAGTCCATCTTAAAACAATTGAAACTAACAATCCAAATATCTTTTTAATATAATTATTATATCTAATTTTCAAAATTTATTTATTTTTTCATATTCATAATCTCCATGTTATAAATTACATTCCTATTTTTCTTATTTTCTTTTTAAAAATTAATCGATTGTCAACCTGATTTTGATTGGACCAACCTTTCACCATATCGGTAATTCCACTAGTTCACTCTAGTAGGTGTTGCATTTTTTGAAAAAAACAGTAGGTGTCACAATTTTTTTTTTTTTTCCCAATTCTTTTTTTGCTTCCTGATTTGTTGGTAGGTTAGCTGTAAATTGTAATATAAGCATTATTTCCTGTGAGAGAGAATGGGGTATCTGGTTTCCTTTCAATATGAAAGAAAGTAGACTTTAACCATCTTAGACACTTTTTCATAGGAAAAGTAACTTCACTCAATATTTACAATAAATTAGAAAACTTTTCGCCTCTAAAACATTTTAATGTACAATAAATTAAAATTTGAGACAGTAAAATAAACTTATTCATATAAAAACAAATTTATAAAACTTTACATGTGGCATCACTTATATATAAGAGATATCCTATTATCACTATTCTCAGCTGTTTGATTTGAATAAGTGGACGGGATAGCACAGGTCATAGTGTCCTGCGTAATGATGTTTTTTTATATTTTTACTTTTTTTTATTAATTTTGAAATCGCTTTTAGTAAAAATAGGGCATGCCCCCAGCTAATTGGGCAACACCTTGCAAAAATAAATATTACTATTTCTAATACAAAAAGATCAAAATACCCTTAGGAGTTCAACTATCTTGGAAGATGTATGCATGGTTCAAGTTTTAATGCAACATAATTATATAAAATAAAACATAAAAATAAAAATAAAAATAAAATATCATGAGCTATCCCATCAAGATCATAGGTTAAAAAATGACTTTGTAACATTTTGTCAACTCAAATCGTACAACAGAAAATAAGTCAAAATTTTCCGTTTAAAAAGAAGAAGACACTTTCAAGTATACGTGGTTTGTGTTTGTGACGAACTTTGGGATGTCATCAACGCTGTCGTCTAGAGAATGGGAATATGGAAGATGAAGCTTTGGCTAAAGAAAGAGTTGTCAAAGACCACCTAATCATCAACAGATTTTGAGCATTTGATTTCTTCACTGTAGTAAATTTCTAAGAGTTATATATGTAAGGACATAAAAAGCAGAATGGAAAATACAAAAATCTTCATTTTTTTTCTCGTAAATATTACGTGGAAGATTTGTTTACTAGCAACTTTTTTATTTTTTCCAGATTGCCACTTAGTATGATGTTACCAACATCGGACCGGTTCAAATTCTTTTTTTTTTTTTTTTAAATTTTTTTTTGTGAAGCTGTGGCCAGTTTGATGTCTCAAATATCGGACCAACAAGATTTAAGCTATATGAGGTCTTAAACCTCATTCTGGTCATTCTATTGCCACAATATAGCGGTCCAAGGTCTTCGACCTAGGACTACTTATTGGACTAAGCAGCCCAAGGTTCAATATATCGGACTGGCCCCAAAGTGAAAATTTTTTTTTTTTAAATTTTTTTTTTTTAAACCAGTCTGGTATTGTTAACATCAGACCGAGGAGCAAACTGGGAAAAATAAAAAGGTCATGAGTCAACCAATGTTCCATGCAATATTTACGGAAAACAAAAATGGTCTCATGCATGTGCATGATTTTCATGTAGGACCCGGTTTCTATGTTGCCAAGCCCGCCTATGTAGAAATGCAGGCATCTTAATAAATATGTTTTTGAGATGGATTTTAAGACTTAATTTTTAAGTATATGTAATCTCTAATATGGAAATCATGAATATGAAAAAATAAATAAATTTAAAAACTAGAGATAATAATTCTAGTAAGAAAATATTTGGATAGTTGGTGTCCATAGTTTTAGATGGAACACCTACTTGCATCCATCTTTAAGATGGATGCTTTACACATTTTGGACCATATATGTAGAAATGCAGTCTAGCCAGTATGAAACAATTTTCCTTTCATATAAAAAAAAAGTTTATATAAGGTTGCAACCTTAAAATGTCGAATTAAATATGCACTTCAAAAATCCATAGGAGAATGTTGTTGTAATATTGAAAAACCCTCCTATTGATCATCTCGATATCAAGATGTATGAATATGAAAAAAAAAAAGATTTTGAGTCTCATAAATAGTACATCTTACAACACATTATCTAGACCGTCCATTTTCAATATTTTCATATATTTATATATCTACTTAATTTTGACCATTTTTGAAGTTTAAAATTTTATAATTATATATAAAAATAGATTTTGAGATAATCTTAAGAATGTTTTACACCAAAATTACATGTTACTATAAAATTTGGAGGTGCGCCTTAATTGAATTGTTTAAGGTTGCAACCTTATAGAAACCACACCCTTCATATAACGTGCTCTTACATGTACTTCATTTTTTAAATAGGAATAGAATCCGAAATATTATGGGGCTGCTTTTCCACCCTACAAACATGGGAAAGTGGATATTTTCTAAGAAATCAACTTCGCGAGCAGAAGATTTCCTCAAAGACTATTTGTCCTTGTGACCAGGAGGACATAACCGGAATTGTCAGATATCGTCAGGACATAAAATATTGGCTTACTGAATTAATAAGTTTCCATTCCTCAGAGCCTGCACCAGAGATGGACTACACTGGAGCTCAACAAACCTGATAATGGCCTCCCTTTTTTATAATCAAACAGAGCAGTTACTCCTTATTCCTAACTGCTTTTCTCCATTAAGAAATCATGGACGAAACAGCTCCTATGACCTGTTCCAGATACAATATCAGAAAATACCCAACCTTTTTGCCTCCAGCTTTTCTTGGTTCTGTTCTCCTGATTTGAAAATAAAAAACTTGGGTCTTTCGAAGGTTTGAGACAATGGGATTTCTCTCACTGAACATGGGATTCTTGCTGTGCTTTCTGGTATTTGTTTCGGGATTTTTGAATGTGCATTGTGGGAATGGGAATTCATCTGTTGTCGAGGGTGAAGTCCTTATAAATGGAAGCTCTGTTATTGCTGAGACTGATGGAAGTTTTATCTGCGCTACAATGGACTGGTGGCCTCCAGAGAAATGTGATTATGGGACCTGTAGCTGGGACCATGCTTCTCTGCTCAATCTGGTGACCTCTCTCTCTCTGCAAATTTGAATGGGGAATCCTATGAAAAAAGAATATATTATGATTTGGGTTTTCCAAGAACAGGAAGATATTTACACATCTGTTATTGTTTAATTTGTAGGATCTCAACAATACCATCCTGCACAATGCTGTAAAAGGTATGTATTCCTACATTATATTTCACATTTTCCTTGTTTTCCTATATATTTATTGCGGTTCTTTATATGTTTCTAAGATTTTCTTTTGCTATGATCAGAGGGTAAAGTGATTGGCTTTTCGGATTAAATTGCAGCTTTTTCTCCTCTGAAAATTCGACTGGGGGGAACACTGCAAGATAAAGTCGTATATGAAATGAGAGGAGTGCCCTGTACTCCTAGTTCTTTTGTGAAGAATGCTTCAGAGATGTTTGGTTTTACTCAGGGCTGCTTGCCTATCAAAAGATGGGACGAGCTTAATTATTTCTTCAAGAAATCAGGGTGAGAAACCTTTGCTTACAATCCAATCAAAGGAATCTTCAGTTGAAATTATTCAAATTCGATTTTATTTTTTTTAGTAGAGAGAGAGAGGTTTGAAATAGCTTGATGCGGTTGGGGGGTCTTTTTCGTTTTAGAGGTGTGACACTCGTGCCTCTCTGCTTGTGAATTTGAACATTTGAACCTCAAGAACACTGATACAGTTTTTGCATTACCACTTTATTGCAACAACTCTCTGGATTCTATTCAGTCTAGGAGTCTAGATTCTCTCTCTCTCTCTCTCTCTCTCTAAAAATCATGATTAGAAGTGGCCAGTTGTCTCAGTTCTCACTTTTTGTTTCGTTGGATTCCTGGCAGATTCACTACCCTCTCAAAATTGTTTGACCATTAAATGTCAGTTATTTATAATTAGACTGCTTTTACCTTTTGTTTGAATTCTTCCAACTCCAAGACCCGCCCACTCTCACTTTTTCTCTCTCTCACACATACACACACAAAACACAGGCGCATACATCTCTAAGGGGGTAGCTCATGTAACCATTCTTGGTGTTGTTTCTTCAGAGCCAGGGTTTATTTTGGACTGAATGCGCTCAATGGCAGAGTGCCATTACCGGACGGTTCGCTAGGAGGACCATGGAATTCAACAAATGCTGTTGGGCTCATTCGCTACACTGTCAATCGTGGTTACACAGCCATCCGGGGATGGGAGCTCGGTGAGCTGCACACTACCCCCTTTATATGACCTTAAAAATTCATCTGTTTTTAACATCTCCCCAACTTGGAAGAAGAAAATTTACAGAGTACTAATCAATGCTAATTGTGATTGTAAACGAGTGTGCACAAAAACACACACACATACACACAAAAGAAGTCCTCACCCCAACCAACTAGTGGTTCTCCTGAAGCAGTTGGGTGCCTAATAAGTCAATGTTGGAAAACCGTTGGTGAAATTTCACGATTACTAACTAAATGAAGAACGAGAACTGTATTTTTCTTACACTCTTTGAAATTGTTTAATCTCAATATTTGCAGGAAATGAACTTAGTGGAAGGGGGATTGGAGCTAGTATTAATGCAGATCAATATGCAGCAGATGTGATATCATTACATACAATTGTGCAAGATATCTACAAAGGTTTCAAATCCAAGCCATTAGTAGCAGCACCAGGGGGCTTCTTTGATGCCAGCTGGTTTGGTGAACTTGTTGCTAAAACAGAACCCAATTTTCTAGATGTCATCACTCACCATATATACAATCTTGGTCCAGGTACTAAAATTTAACTGCATACTGGCCTTTGATTTATGTTACCTCTCAAGTTTAAAACTCTCTCTCTCTCTCTCTCTCTCTAGGTGTGGATGATCATTTAGTGGAGAAGATTCTCGATCCTTCCTACCTTGATGGAGAGGCCAACACGTTCCGTAGTCTACAGAGTTTGCTACACAGCTCTAACACAAGCACCAAGGCATGGGTTGGAGAAGCTGGGGGGGCTTACAACAGTGGGCACAATCTCGTCACAAATGCTTTTGTTTTCAGCTTCTGGTAAGAACATAGTTCTTGCCAATGGTTCTGTTTATACAACAGCTTTCTGATATCAACATCATCCATAAACTAACTACTATCATCACAACCATCTAAGACAAATTAATTTAAACAGAGTAAAATGTGCCTGTAATTATAACCGTTAGGCTCATTACGTTTACAGGTACTTGGATCAGCTTGGAATGGCTTCGAATTTCAACACCAAGACTTACTGTAGGCAGAGCTTGATTGGTGGAAACTATGGCCTCCTCAATACAACCACTTATGAACCAAACCCTGACTATTACAGGCTAGATTCTAATCCCCCAGTTCATCCAAATGAGCTGTAATTCAGTTTTAACCTCTGTAGGTCAGATTGATATGGATAAGATTACCAAGAGTCATAAGAGTGTTTCTTTTAGATGCTATATGTTACTGATGGCCCGTGTATTGTTGCAGTGCGCTTCTTTGGCACCGACTGATGGGAACAAGAGTCCTCTCAACGAATTTCACGGCGAAAAGCAAAATTCGGGCATATGCACACTGTGCAAAAAGAACAGTGAGTAAAGATTTGAATGACTGTATGCACACAAATTAAGAAAACCCGTCTTCGCATAACCACTGGAGTTTAGCCTGATCTATCCTCGTTCCATTTTGCACAGAAGGGGATCACCCTACTCTTGATTAACCTCGACGGCAACACTACAGTGAATGCCCGTGTCACTATGGACTCTGCCATTATTAATAGCTCCAAACATCAAAACATGTTCCCTCATACAAACTTCAATAGGATGCCGCGAAAGCAAAGAGCAACTGAAATAATAAGGGAGGAGTATCATCTCACTGCAAAGGATGGAGACCTACATAGCCAAACCATGCTTCTCAATGGAAAAATACTAGGTGTAAACCAACAAGGTAAGATACCTCGTATGGAACCAATAAGAGTAAATTCCTCAGAACCCATAGTTGTTGCTCCGTTTTCCATTGTGTTTGTGCACATGCCTCTTATACATGCCCCTGTTTGTGGGTGAGTGTAATTTGTCTCTTAAAAAGATTTTTCATTCAATTTACAATTGTAGCAAATTAAATGTAGCTTTCATATCATTTCCCATTTGTTGTAAGCTTTAACAAATGTAAAATAAATGTATGAAAATTGATCTATAGTGAGTGATTTGATTTATAAAGGATTCTATCCATTATCCAACATGAACATGTCTCATGACTTGTTAGACATGGTAGCTAGTCTTGTTATGGGGAATTTTCATCTCACCTGTCTATGGGGAATTTTCATCTTTCTCTCTCTCTCTCTCTTTCTCTCTCCATTTAGAATTTGCTGCAAATACATATCCGTAATGGGAAAAGTTTATATAAGGTTGCAACCTTAAAATGTAGAACTACAGATGCATCTCAAAAATCCATTGGAAAAGATTGTTTGAATATTGAAAAACCCTCTAATTGATCATCTCGACGTTGAGATGAATGACTATGAAAAAAAAAGGATTTTGAATCCCAGAAATGATGCACTTTACAATACATTATCTAGACCGTCCATTTTCAAAATTTTCATATGTTTGTAGATCTAATTGATTTTAATCATTTTTGGAGTTTAAAATTTTATAATTAGATATGAAAATAGATTTTGAGATAATCTTAAAAATATTTTTACATCAAAATTATATGCTATGATAATATTTGGAAGTGCACCTTAAATGGATTGTTTAAGGTTGCAACCTTATGGAAACCACGCCCATCCGTAATTTGATTATATACTTCACTTTTCATAAATGATTGCAAAGGCAAAGTTAAAAGGAAACAAAAAAGTGAGAAAACAAAATATCATAATTTCCTTTTGCAGTATACTTATAAAAATTGTAATATAAATAAAGAGTAATGATCCTATGAGACCCTTCCACATCTATGTGTGTAGGATCTCAAAAGATCCCCATTAAATTTGACACATCTTTAGAAAAATTATCACATGGATGTGAGACTTGACTCTTCTAAAGATTTGTGTCAAATTTAATGGGATCCTATATACATAGGTATGGGAAGATCTCATAGTATTATTACTCATAAATAAAATATAGGAGATGCTAGCCTTTCTTCTTTTTGTCTTTTCTTTTTTTTTTGGTTTTCGGGAAAATCATTTTTTTTGTAATACATTGGTCATTTCTATTTTTCTTTTCAGATTTTAACATTTTTTTCTTAAAGATTTTAGGGGGTTTTTGGTGAAGGGCAAGAGGGTGCCTCACCATAAACTGAGGTCAAGTTACTTGGCCGAAACCGAGTGGACCCAGCCAAGTCACGGAACTTGTGATAATCTCTACCAAAGGGTTCCGCAACAAGTTGAACCTTTTGTTCAGTGTATGGCTGAAAGATGGGGTCCCTATCTTCACCACTTATTTGTTATTCAATCCAGGGCAATTATAATATGAGAAGAACAATGAAAAAAAGGAGGAGAATTGGATATTCAATCCAGGGAAATTATAATATGAGAAGAAAAATGAAAAAAAAGAAGAAGAATTGGATAGAGAAAACCAAGAAACATTAATCATCAATTCTTCACTAACATTCAACAGGTTAACATTCACAAGCAACTATGACGGCATATTCAATTATATAAAGAGAATCCTAATCCACATGATATGGAGATGCAGAAAACAACAGAGCACAGGACAGGCAATGGGATGGCAGGTCAAGAAATCGAACCTAGCAACAAGATAAAAGGACAAATTGCTAGACTCATCAATTTTGGGGAAAATGAAGGAACCACAGAGAGAGAGACAGGAGGGGGGTTTTACATCAACTCAATTTTTTTTTCCTATAGGTTTTCTTTTTTGCAATGGGGTAAAGATCAGATGTCCATATCAAATAGATAATCAAATTCAAGAAAAAAGGCTACCATGAATAGGTTGAGGCAATATGAGACAGTATTTGTCGATTCATGCATGGACACATTTAGGAATTGGCTCTGGATTTGTTTTTTTTTTTGGCTGTGTTCTGATCGGATCTGGTGCACCCAAAACTTATTTCTTCAACATTATATCACGCGAGGCTCCTGGATATTAGATAAAGCATAAGATACACTAGTGGTTTATGCTATATGGTATACTAAGACATGCATTGTTATAAGTTATAACCAATTCTTGGAGGTCGAGATTAACAATATCTTCTTGACCATCTCTCATAACAAGAACTGTGAATCTCCACCATCCATCACTGGGAAGAACGGTGGATCCTCACATCGTGGTATAGCATATACCATACTCCACTTGCGTATTGGTATTAGTGGTGACAAACTACCACATGGCTCATAAATGATCAACCACAATTGAAAATTCCTCAATAGTCACCAGAAATTTCCCAAAGTACAACAAATATTTCGATAAAACATAGGGAAATTTATAGAAAAATAATATTTTATTTTTCAAATTAAAATAATCCCCTATCTTTCATATTTTACGCACAAGTCACATTTTTTAGTGCATAGTTTATTTCAATTTTAATGTTTTTCATATATATTGAATAAAACTCAAATTCGGGACGTGCATATTTCTCACCATCATGTTGCCATTAAAAATACAAAAAATTTAAAATAAAAAATGAAAGATAAAATTACTAAATACCCATGGATACTAAAGGGGTATTTTGGTATTTCCATTATCAATTTATTTTTTATTTTTATAAACACGTGATAGTAATACCTTAAATTTGAGCTTAATTCAATGTATATATGCTCTCAAAAAGTGAGACATGAGACTTCTTGTATATATGGGACATGAAACTTCCTTAAATTTCAAAATCATAATGGGATTCTCATGTAAATTTCCCTAAGACGTACTATTATTATGTTGAAAACTCTACAATACATCTGTCAAGTCTGAAGTAACTAATGTTCATATACGTGAAAAATCCAGCAAAAATACCATGAAATTTTTCAAAAAGGAAAAAATTTGAATCTACACTACCATCTTTTTCCTTTTACAATCTTTTCTGAAAAATCATTTTATGCTTGAACTTTAATACGATATTGACAGGAAAAATTATGTAGAAAGTATTACAAAGAACAAAAAAAAAAAAAATGCAAAAAAATTTAAAAAATAATTTACACAAAATATTATTCTTCTTTCTTTGCTATCTTATTTTCAGTTTTTCCTTCTATTTTATATTTTTCTACAAAATCCAGAAAATACAAATATTGAATAGTTTCTACGAAATTATATCAACCATGAGTTCTTAGGAAGTAAGATCAATCACTGTATTCACATTAATAAACCCCTTTACTTTTTCTGGTCAGGCACTTGAACACCTTGACATTAAATGTGGCTTTCACAACCCAAACTACCAGGCCAAGGACCTATCCTTTTGGTGTGTTACAACTGTGTTATAACGCTACCTCAAATGACCAGAAAATCAAACCCTTCAGTATATAGTTATATTTTGCATATCTAAGTTAGTTTCTCCAGAACCTTTTCTTTCTTTATCACTAAAATCTTCAACATTATGTTTTCACTTTGTTTCAATCTCACAAATTAATGTTTACCAATAGAACACCTAAAAACAATACCAAAAACTTATCTCATACCAGGATGCATGTTCTACACATGCTATATATTTAGCGTGCCATGGTCGTGAGGATTTGCATGGGCAGATCCAGTTCACAATCCTTTACATGGATATAATCCAAAAGCCTGTCCACTTGAACACAAAAATTGCAAATTATAACTACAAATATGCACAAAAAGGATTGTTGCAACTATAGAACAGTTCTCACTATAAGTATACTCCAGTTAACGCAACACAATATACTAATAGTAACAATAATGCAAAATAAAATTGTCACCTTACCTTGAGGAAAATTGCATATAACAAAAGTTACAAAAACCAAATGCATAGCTAGTGGAGAAGCTAAAGCTTTTGGGGGTGTCTTGGAGAAGGCTCGTATGAGAGAACGCAGATAAGTCATTCTGTAAGTGTATCAAAAGAATGACGCTGCTTAAAGGCAGGTGGTTCACTGCCATAGAAGTACTAAAACTATTAGAATGATCAATACATGTTGACATATTCCCTCTCCCAAAAGAATAAGTTGAATTTGGTACTAAGCTAAATCCCAAACATAAAATCTAGGGATCCTGTGAAGCTCAATCTTCATGGGAAAAGCTTTGAGGTTTGCTGCTGGCAAAAACTAACCAAACAACTGTACCAGTCAAGTAGAAAAAGATGGATGGTGCAAACAGTGCCAACTGCAAAAAGGAAAATTCAGTATCAACACTTACAGCAACTCAGACATGCGGAAGGAAAAGAAATGAGGTTTTAATATTAGATCAAGAGAAAAAACTTCCATGATATGGGAGAACCCTACATTGTCTTAAATTTGTACACTTACACTCCATGACTGCGTAAGATCTAGAAGATAACCAGTGAGGGCAACACCAATGATTCCTGGCACTGCTCCAACTGTGTTAGTAATACCCTGTGATAGCCAGATGTATCTCTTAGGTATTCAAATATACAAAATGAATATCCTCATGTAAACAAATATTTATGCAGAAATTCAAATTAAAAAAATTAAAGCCAATAAAGCAGAACAAATAACCAACAACCAACCACAAAACAAATATAGAGAGAAATAAATTCAAAAGAGAACTAAGGAAGATGGTAACCACAAGATGGAAGTGAGAAAACGATGACTAATTCACACTCCTTGTTGAACATTCAGCCCAATATCACAGCTACAAAGAGAATCTCAACCACTATCATGGGACACAAACCTCTCTCTCTTCCCCTGCACTGTTCTATCCCAATTCACAACTGAGATCTTCAAAAGCATACTCTAAGAGAAAGTATCATCTATTTATAGGTATTCCTAGATAGACTCCTTGAGGGTCCAAAAAAGGTTTCCATTCTCAACTTCATAGAATTCCGTACATTTTTTAATTGAAGGTTTTAAGGGTAGGAGCACTTCCACTTTCCGAGTTGGCTATTAACCCAGGAAAGAGCGAATCCTTCAATTCCACTTCCATGATACCTCCTTGTCCAAGCATTGCTTCATACAAACCTCACTCCATAATCCTGAAGCCAAAAACATGATTTATTTTATTTTATATAGAATATTAAAATAATGTCAGTGGGGCGTGCCTCTCTTTGTCTTGAGATCCCTAATCTAATCAGGAAAATATTACATGCTTTTTAATTGAGGCACCCAACTCTAAAACTTTCGGAAATCACGTGGGTTCTCAAGTTGTAAGCATGGGACACAAACCTCACTCCCTTCCTCTGTCCTCATCTATCTAAATCACAAATGGGTTCTTCAAAAGCATGCTCTAAGAGGAAGTATCTACGTCCTATTTATAGAGAGTCCTTGAGGTTCTAGGAATCGAGATTCCAACATCTTTGGAATCGAGATTCAAACCAGATTGAAATCAAGTTTCATAGCAGTTTGGATTCGAGTTTCGAATCATCTGGCAATCAAGATTTGATACCCCCTTATAATCAAGCATCAAGCAAACACCGGAATAGATAGTGACAGATTTAGAAGTTAATAAGAGAGCTTACATATTGCGTGAATTGAAAATAACACAAATGGATTACGATTACAAAGATTTTGATAGTAAATGAAAGCTGAAGATTACTTATTTGCATGTAATTAAAAAATAAAATACAATGCCTTCGATACATGACCTTCATTAAACACTAACAGGAATATTGCCCAGGGAGAAAGGGGGAGGAAGATGATGGAGACACTCTATGCAGGTCTAGGGGAAGGCTTGCTTGGGAGACAATCATCTAGTCTCCAAAACCTCAAATGTGAACTATGGGATACAATAAATATTTGAACTATGGAAGACACTTGTCTCCAATCAAGTTTCCAAATAACTTAAATTCAAAACCATAAATATTTGAACAAAATCCAAAAGTCACAGATTTGTGCATCTAAAACTCTAGCATTTTATTTTGAGGTATTACAATTCCAAAAAAAAAAAAAAATGAGATCGAGATTCCATGAGGGTAGAACCAAGATTTGATGTTTCATTAACTTGTGGTTTCTTGCATCTACGAACTGCGGTGATGTTCAGGAATTTGGATTCGAAAACCATCGAATCAAGTATCATTACATGTGGATCCAGATTCAACAAGTGAAGAATTGAGATTCAATAAATGTAGAATACGGAATCAATAAATAATGAAAGCGAGATTCTTTAAGTGTTGGAATTGAGATTCCTAAATAAGCAATAAAGATTCATGACTTCACGAAAACACGTTCATGAAGATTCCTTGTCCGAATTGCGGAATCGAAGTTCCTTGGTTGAGATATTCTGGTGAATTTGGGCCTTGTCCTTTTTGGCCTTTGCTCATCACACAGATAGCCCAATCACTTGGCTACTATGGCATAGATGGTCACAAAGACGGCCATGTGGCATCTTAACTGGGCTAACCACAATGCTGTACCACGATTCCTCCTAAGAAGACCTAAACCACATCCTCCCAAAGGGTTTCACACAACAGTTTCAAAGCATGTGACCTACTACACAACCATCTCGTTTGGCACATTGGTCCTTGAAATACTTGTCCTCCCACCCGGCATCCTCATAATTGGAGCATGTCCATGTGCTCTTTCATTTATATATGCCATTTACATGCAGATGAAAAATTAAGGCCAGCTACACAAATCCCAACAAGTCAACCTATGTAATTTGGACACGCATGTCCATGGTTTTGTATGTATCAACACACCAAAGAGATGAGACCCACGTCTCATACTTTCAAATCGCAAACACTTCTTAACCTTTCTAATTGCACTGTCATGATGGAAGTCTCTCTCTAATAGTATATGGAAATACTATGTCTAAGAAACAAAATTTGGAAATATCCATGTCAGACACTGACACACGTATTTCAGTCTTTGAAACAAAGTCATCAAAAAATTCCCAAGAAGAAAAACACACATAATTTTAAAATTTCTTATATCATTTTTATAATTGTTTTTGTTTATTTTCTCGACAACTTCAATCCATGATAGTATTGATTCATATGGTTTAGGCAAGACTTGTTTTAGGCTGAGTAAACAAAGTTCTGAACATTAGTTACATGGACATCAACATTATCAGGATCGGACTAGTTACCCAAACTTTGAGGGAATTGCTTCAGTCAAAAAAGGTCTGACTGACAGGCGAATCGGTTTGACTAAACTTTAAAATATATAAAAAAATATGAATAATACTTTAAAAATAAGTAATGTATTATAAATAGACATTGCCCAACTTGGTTTTGCCGGTCGAAACCAGCCAGTTGGATCTGTCAAAATTCGTCAAACACTAGTTTTGGCAAATTTTTACCAATCCCGGTTTTTACTTCGGACAAACTCAATCTAGGCACCACCACACCAGTAGACCATCCCAGTTTGCTCTAGTCTTGATAACTCTAATGGATATAGATAAGTGGAAATTTCAATTTACAAACAATACATCAAGTAAAGTCCTAAAGAAAAAAGAAACAGTATTAGGTTACATTGCAGTAGCATCCATTTCAACCAAATATCCAAAAGGTTACAATCAATGAAAGGTTACAATTTCAACAAATTAGGCCATAACACAACTTTTTTGTCTCAACCTACCCAGAACATGTTTCCAAATATACCTATGGAAATATGTTAGCAAATTGCTTTTCACAGTGTAGCAAGCTTTGAGTAGATTCAAATCCATATTCAGAAAATGATAAAACGACACTCTTCTATTTCATCCACAAAATATGCCAACTTTCCCTTAATGATTGTCTCATTGCCTTCAAATGACCTATTTCATAAAATTAATCAACTTTAAAGAATATGTTTACATACCAAAAGTATACTTGCATAGTTTGGAGAAATATCTTGATGGGTACAATATAATCCTGCAGTGACACAGCAAGAAATCAGTGTGATCACTTGCACATGTAACTGAATTATGAATCATACAAATAGATAGATTGAAGAAAGTACCTGATAGGGCAAAACTTGAGAGGGCTAAACCAGTGGTTAGGCATGCAACAATTTCCCAAGGAGGCAAGCCTAAATCTGAAGAGGCAAGAGTCATAGACAAGGCAGGGGACAAGAAGGCAATGGTTTGACAAATTTTTCTTACCTGCAACCAAAGGTATAAAATGATTAGAACTTAAGAGATCCCCTCATGAATAAAGACGTTCTAATTTAGGCGCCTGTAAAGAATATTAGTTTACTATGGTAACAATGCAATTTCTACATAATGAATAACCCTAATACATGGATTCTAAACTAGAATAAAGACTTCGGCTTTTTCCTCTAAATGCAGGGCAAGATCGAGTTACATACATCATTGCTAAATCCAAAAAATTTGTAATCTGGCATTATGTCTCTGCTTTATTGCCCCTACTGTACTTCTTTTATTAACAAATTCTATTCTCTGTCAGCTTTTATTTGTTTTCCTTTTATATTTCTTTGGAATTTAAGTACAAAGGAAATACCATGTTTTCTCCCAGTCAGGTCTTAGGCAGAATAAATGCAATGCAAAACTGATGAATTTTTGCACCTTCAACATTAGAAATTATAGCAGACAACTTCCGTAACCACCTTGCTAATTATAGTACATTGATAAATGAGAAGACCTAGTTAAGTAGGAAAAGAAATAAGTTCTATGGTTATGAGGAATGATACAACCATCCAGGATCAACGTAGCTGCTCAAGGCTCTCAATTTATACACATAAACATTTGCATTAGGGTAAAATTATCTTTTGGAAGTGCAAAGATGTAAGACATTTCAGTTGGATTCTAGTCCATAACCCGGAACCTATGCAATCATTCAGATGAACAGTTCATGTAATTGATGAAGGCAGAAACAACAGATGGTTCAAAATCGCACCTGTTGTAGCATATGGCGTCATAACTTGCACAGTTCATGTTAATTGATGAAGGCAGAAACAACACAAAATAGACAATCGAATGGAGAATCAAAGTATCACACCATGTTCCAGTCAAAGCCTTATTAGTTTATCTTCGAACACATTTCATCTCTTACTCCTCACCATAGGGATAATGCATGTAAATTTCGTAGTGCTTCTAATCATGTCTTCCATAACATGAACTGCCATTGCATCCACGATAAACAATTCGATTGTACTATTAGCTTTTATGTCACTTCTTTAAAAAGGGCTGCAAAATTGTTATCGAAGTCAATAACAGTGATAAACAAAAATACTTTGTGAACTGTTAAAAGACCTTATTTCTCTTCTATTTTAACTTAATAGGACCTACCCCAGTAGCAACGCGCCACAGCCCAATTGCGGTAAAAAATAGGCAAGGGTTCCCTTGACATTCTAGATGAGCACATGTAAAGAAGCTAGTCCAAGATAGTAGGATTCGTCTAGCCACATGGAATGTAGGGACGCTTACGGGTAAGAGTATGGAGTTAGTAGATTCAATGAGACGAATGAGAGTAAACATAGCATGTCTACATGAAACTAAATGGAAAAAAGAAAAAGCTAAAGAAATATATGGGTATAAACTTTAGTATACAAGAAAGGATAATAATAGAAATGACAAGCATAATAGTAAACAAAGATTTAAAAGATAAAGTAGTTAATGTCAAAAGAATAGGTGATAGGCTCCTATCAATTAAACTTGTATTAGGGGAAGAGATAATTAACATACTTAGTGCTTATGCATTACAAGTAGGATTAGATGATAGAATTAAATAACAATAGATGATAGAATTAAGTAACAATTTTGGGAGGATATGGATAGAATAGTCCAAGACATACCAAATGGAGAGAGGACCTTTTTAGGAGGGGACTTAAATGGTCGTGTAGGGAAGGATAGAAGAGGATATGAAGAGGTACATGGGTGATATGGGTTTGAGGAAAGAAATAAAATGGGTGAGGCTATTTTAGATTTTTCTGTGGCCTACGACTTAGCAATAGGAAACAATTACTTTAAAGAGAGCGATCAACATTTAATAACCTATAACTTCCCTCAAAAAAAAAAACATTTAATAACCTATAATAGTGGATCACATAAAAGCCAGCTAGACTTCTTCCTAATTAAAAAGGTAGATCAACCATCATGTAAAGACTACAAAGTTATTCTAGGAGAAAGAGGACTACCCAACATAGGCTCGTGGTTTTGGACATCTGAATAAAGACTTGGAAAAGAAGGGGTGAAATTAATAAGTGTACAAGAACTAGGTGGTGGAATTTAAAAAATTGAGAAAATAGACTTATTTAGGAATAAATTAATCCAAAAAAGAAAATGGAACTCTGAACATGAGGTCAATGTTATGTAGAATGAGATGGCTGATTGTATTAAGAAGTGGTAAAAGAATTTTTTAACAGAATCTAGAGGGAAAAGAAATTCCGATAAGGATGCTTGGTGGTGGAGTGATGAGGTTCAAAAGACCATTAGCAAAAACGATCATGTTATATAACTAAGCAGTGTAATAGAAATGGTCAAAACTTAGAAGAATATAAAAATGTTAAACAAATAGTAAGGCTAAACTTAAGACATGATAATTTATACAGTAAATTGGGGACAAGAAAAGGTGAAAAAGATGTCTTCAAATAAAAAAAAATGAGAGAAAAATGTAGCGATCTAGACCACATTAAATGTATTAAGAGTGAAGATCAAACGGTATTGGTGAGGGATGAAGAGATCAACGAAAGGTGAAGAGCTTATTTTCAAAACTTATTAAATGACAAATACAATGAGAACATAGCAGTAGAAGGAACCGTCAACATATATGAGGGCGGAGGTCATATATATATTCTCAGAATTAAGGTATCGGAAGTGAAAAAAGCTTTGAAAAGGATGAAGATAGGAAAGGCTTTAGGACCAGATGGTATCTTGATAGAGGTTTGGACTAGATAGTATCCCGATAGAGGTTTGGACCAGATGGTATCTCGAATCCCGATAGAGGTTGGAAGTACATGGGGGAAATTGGCAATGATTGGCTAACCAGGTTGTTCAACAAGGTGTTGAGAACAAAGAAAAAGCAAGACAAATAGAAGAAAAATATTATGGCACCTATTTACAAAAGCAAAGGAGACATACAAAATTGTGCGAACTAACAAGGGATCAAACTTATGAGTCACACTATAAAACTTTGGGAGAGAGTGATTGACTAAGGCATGAAACGAGTGTATCAAAAAACCAAAATTCAGTTTCATGCTAGGGAGGGCCAACAATCGAGGCTATTTTCTTACTTAGGCAACTGATTGAGAAGTTTAGGGCGAAGGTAAAAGACTTCCACATGGTCTTTACTGATCTAGAGAAAGCTTATGATACAGTTCCTTAAGATTTGATTTGATGGGTGTTGAAAAAGAAATGAGTCTCTAGACACTACATCGACTTGGTAAGAGATAAGAACGATAAAACGTTAACTAGTGTACAAACAATTAGTGAAGAGACGAGTGAGTTTTCAGTAACGATAGGTCTACATCAGGGATCAACATTGAGCTTATACCTCTTTCTCTTAGTCATGGACGACTTAACTAGGCACCTACAAGATGAGGTACTGTTGTGCATGTTGTTCACAAATGACATTTTTTATCGATGAGACCCAAAACGGTGTCAACACAAGCTTAGAACTTTAGAGGGATGCTCTAAAATCTAAAGGTTTGAAAATTAGCCGAATTGATATAAATTATATGCAATGCAAGTTTAGTAATAATAGGAGTAGAGACGAGGAGATAGTTAAGATGGATAGCTAAAAAATACCAAAAAGAGCGTATTTTCGATATCTTCGATTGATAATCCAGGAAAATACAAAGATTGAGAAAGATGTCACGCATAGAATTAGAGCTAGGGGAGCAAAGTGGAGATGTGCAACCAGATTTTTATGTGATCGCCGCATACCAATGAAGCTAAAAGGCCAGTTCTATAGGACAGCTGTGAAACCAGCGTTAATCTATGGGGCTGGAATGTTGGACAGTCAAAAAACAATATACCCATAGAATGAGTGTAGCGGAGATGAGGATGTTGGGATGGATGAGTAGCAAAAAAAGAAGGGAAAGAATTCGAAATGAATACATTTGAGAAAATTTAGGTGTGGCACCGATAGATGATAAGATGAGAGAAACTAGACATAGGTGGGTAGCCATGTGTGGCAAACCTAGTACAACACCTGTTAGGGGGTGCGAGTTAGATCAAGTTGAAGGTCAAAAAGTGCAAAAGGTAGGCCCAAAAAGACATGGTAGGAAGTAGTGAGAAAAGATATGGGGACTTATGGCCTCACTGAAGGTATGATCCTTAATAGAGCAGAATGGGAGACCATGATTCATTAGACGACCGCAATTAGTTGCGAAAAGGCTTTGATGATGATGATAATGAGAACCTACACATCCTATTTCCAATTTCTATATGCAGTTTTTCCCTTTCTCTAGTTTCATTAATATAAAATGGCTCTGAGAGGTGCATGATACCAATTTTTTGGACTCTCTCTTGAGTGTATTTTTAGTCAGAATACAAGACAAAGTACACTTAGATAAATTAGCAAACAAACCCGGGCGCGTAATAAGGAAGATGGGTATTGGATGAATGTCAAGCCTATGCATCTAGGTAGATGTTGAGTCACTACACAACACTAATGGACTTGATTCTTGAAATATATTTGCAAGGCATACTCCAAGCATAATAACGACATACGGTCAACCTAGGACTCATTATATGAAGGCCCTTATATGCCTTAAGAGTCCTGGTCATCAATCAATCCATATACCTCGGTTAACTACCAAAGATAGCAAAGGGTATCAAGCCATCTCAATTTGGGACAAGCTCTGGGTCATGTATTCCCAAGGCTACAATATGCCTTTTCATATGATATTGAAAGAGTTTGGATACAGTATGATATGCTTTTGAACCCATCGTCAGTCAAATATGTGCGCATCTTGGTTAACGACCGGTCATAAAAGATTGAGCCGACCATCTTGATTTGAGACAAGCTCTAGGGCATATATCCCCAAGGCTACTATATGCCTTTCCACATGATATTCGAAGAGTTTGGATACGGTAAGGTACAACTTCAAATCCGTCATCTGTGGCCATAAAAACTGTGCAAAAGCCTGGCCCCCGCTGCATGATTTCTCCCAAGATATGGAGAGCTTATCCACAGGTTATTGAATATTTATTGATGGTGGTTACATGGAGAAGTAAGAAACCAAATGTCATGGCTAGATCTAGTGCAGAGACCGAATATAGAGCAACAACACATACTACATGTAAATTGATGTGGCTGAAAACATTAACACAGGACATAGGGTTTACTATTGTTGAGCCTACGAAGATGTATTATGCTAATGAAACAACTACTATAGCCAGCAATCAAGTGTTTCATGAGAGAATGGAACATATCGAAGTACATTGTCATTTTATTCGAGAGAAGGCCACTAGTAAGCAAGTGTCTACTCTGCCTGTGAAATCTAAAGATTAGCTGAAGAACATCTTCACCAATCTTTTTCAAACAATTTGTTCCAGGCTGGGCATGGACATCTATGTTCTAACTTGATGCGGAGTTTCAAAAGTCTTATTTCTCTTTTATTTTAAGTTAACAGGACCTATATGTCCTATTTTCAGTTTGTATGGGCAGTTGTTCCCTTTCTCCATTTTTATTAATTTAAAACTAATTTAAGAGGTGTGAAAACCAAATTTTTTGGACTCACGTCACTCTCCCTCCCTCGCCCTCTTTCTTTTTCATCTTTCCCTCTCCCGTCTCTAAGATAAACAAATTGTCATGTTCATGGTTTTAAAATGCGGCCGCATCGGCCCCATCATGCGGTATGCAGTGGGCACTGCATCAAAATTGACAGCATATGCACTTTTGAGCTATGCGGCCGCATATGCGCCGCATCGTAGCCGCATCCCGCATCACACCTTCAATTTTGCCCCTCGTGGAGGGGCAAAATGGTCTTTTTGACCATCCAAAATGGGGGAAACTGTTTGGGGGATATTAAACCCCCAAAACGATGATTTCCAGCCACTTTTGTGGTTTTTTTTGCATCAAATTGAGGGAAAAAAAAAAATTTGGCGGAAATTTATTTTTCATTCAAAATTGACTCTCAAAATGGATGATTGTATTAAGTTATTAACTATTAACTCTTCTTGAGCTTGACTTTTGGTTTGTAATATCAATATTTTTTGCTTATGGTTGTTGATGGTTGTGTTTTTGTGCTTATGGTTGTGCTTATGGTGCAAATTTGTGCTTATGGTTGTTGATTGTTGAATGTTTTATAAAGCTAGTTTCAAGTTTCTAGTTTCTATCAGGGGATAGTAGATAACTGGATACAAATTCTCCGACAGCTAATAATTTTGAAGTTAATCATTAAACTAAAATACCTACTATCACATATATCACCTCCATATTTTTTTCTATCCATTAACCTAATTTTTTAGATTTTTTTAAAAAAATTTACAATTATTGACCGCATCGTCGCGATGCACCCGCATCCGGGCCGCATCGGCCCCCCCACCGCTTTTGGCCACATCCCGCATTTTAAAACACTGGTCATGTTGAAACATGTAACTACATATCTAGTGTTTCACGTTTGAAAGTATATATGAGGGTTATTCTCATCATTCTTCCTGTTGGATATGTTTTGGGCAGTTACACTTCATTCAGCTATTCTTCCTACTGCAAATCTGCTCGCATGGAGACCTACCACCACAGCCCTTCAAAAGGATAATATGTCATTCTTCATGCAAAACATAAATCTACAGAACAATAAATGAGTGTAAAATGCCCCATTATTCAGTCATGAACATCAACTAGGATTTATGCCATCCACTTATTTAGTAAAGAAAGGACTAAGTGAAAACCGTGAAATAAGAACAATATCAAAACAGAAAATATGAATGAAGGACAAGACTAACATGTTGATAAACATTTATAATCTTGGCAGAGGGAAAGACCAGAATGGGCAGAGGGGAACTTATTTCTTACTGTAGTTGTTTCAACTCCGTTAGAGATCAAGTTGTCTGCAAATGGTGCTGCAATGCTGGTCACAATAATTGAAGCTAAAGGAGGAAGGACCGATACCTGCAGCACTAGATTTATATCTAACATGAGCAACATATTTAGAAAACTCCAGGTCCCTAGTAAAAATTCAAAAATATAATCCATTAAGTCCTCAAAAAAATAAAAACAGAAACACTATTAATAACTCTATTCAGGAATATGGTAATCAGTAACAAGGAAATTCTTGGGATTCAAAGCATAGAAAATCATCGATACCAAAAAATATAATCTTATCAACTTAATGCAATCATTTGGAATAATTGATTTTCTAGAGATAATAGACAATATATAAAATAATGTCCATCTTCCATTGCATAATAGAGACTTTTAATTCCCAACTTTCAGTTATTCAGAATCAAATTTTCTCTCAAGTCATCTCTAACATGTTAATGGCGCATCAGATGTCTTATTTACAGATTAGTTGCGAGTTTAAGAATGCATATTTATCATTTCATGAAGACTGAGTAGTTTCACCCTGTTCTGCTATCACAAACATTCTAAACTGAGTAACCATATCCAGGACTTACCCATGCTGCTTCTGTCAAATTCAAATCCAACTCCTCACTGCATGTAAATAAACAATGGATTTAGCATCTCATGACCGAAAATAAAACAAGGATAAAAATCAGAGTCACAATGGTCCAGCTGCATTTAACCTATTCGCGCTAATTAGAAGTCACCCTGCTCCAAAAGATATAAATATCATAAAAGTAGTATTTATCCAACTCCCCGGAAATCGTTATGCTTTTACACTTGGACAAAATTTGTCAGATTATGCTCTGAATGAAATGCTCCCTTTATTAATGCCAAGTCTAAAAGGAAACATAAAGAATAAACTCGTACTTAACATTACTTTCGGGAAGTTCAACCTACCTAAAATAAGTAGGGAGCCAGGAGAGACAAGTATAGTGGCCCCAACTCCCACAAAAGTGTACATATATCATAGCCCATACAGCTGGGCTTTTGAAAAATGCCTTCCATGGTACGTCCTGGGAGATGGTTAATTTCTTAGATAACGACTTACAAACATAAAGAGAGTAATATGAATAATAAGAAAAATCAATTTCTTGTAGTAATATGATATCCTAGAATCTGAACTGAAACCTCAATAAAGATATAAAGTTTTGAACTCCTAGGAATTTGCATATGTGAAGTTTATATGATTCACTTATCATACATCTAAAGTATTGGCAGACTATTATTGTAGCACTATGCAGCGGTTTCAAACCTGGAATTAGGTTTTGAATAAGCCTCCAGTAAACTAATTTGGAAAGGCCAAATTGGGTGATTTGGATTTCAGCAGAATCAGGGAAATAATAATAAAATAATAAAAATGGGCGAGAATCGGGCGATTCCAGGGACCATTGACCGGGATGCCACCGAGCTCAATGCAGATCCAGATCGCCATTTTTTAAAACATCAGTACTACCCATTAAAAGGCTTGTGGATCTATTTGCCTTTTAAGTTCATCAAACATGCAAGTGAGTCCCAAATTGGTTAGATCTATAGATTCATTCATTTCAATATTCAATAACTTTAGTGTTTAAGAACTTGTTGTCTTGGGTTTCCATGCGTAACTTACAGCTTAAAAGCTCAACTTAGTACTGTAGAAGTCGGGAAATGCCAAAGTTTTGCCCTAATCATTTCTTTATTTGTATTGTTTCGTAGTATGAGGGTGTTTAGTCGTTGTTATTCTTTTGTATACACCCACTATGCGAGCAATCAAAATAAAGAGAAAATGACCTAATGAGGATGATGATTCTTCCTCTTATTTGATACTGCAGTTTTACTATGGCATCAGAACAAGAATCCTAAACAAGAAAAGGTAAAACCTGACCCTGGTACGACAAACCTGAAATTTCAGGCTACCAACAGAACCAAGGGAGAGAGGAATTTAATATTTCATCCAGTTCAAAAAGTCATGAGTAAACTGGTACTTAATATTTCAGTGAGTTCAAAATCCCATGTAAACTGAAACTTGTGCCAAATCTATGCACAGTGAAATTCAGGGCTTTTTCTCCTTGTTAGTACGAGATTTTGACAAACTGAGGCAACCTAAGTTTATACGCCAAAGAAGCCTAATTTTGGTGGGTCTTTTGGGCATTTTTGTTTGCACATGTGAGGGGGCCATGCACTTGTCCGAATGGGCAGATCTGATTCACCTCATCACACTCATCGACCCCCAAAAGTTTCATAAAAATTATAGTTAGCTACAAGAAGAAATACATATTTCCTTTAGGTTGGGCAACAAGGCCTAAAACATGTCCTCTGCTCAATTCACATGTGGAGGACACATGCATGAAAAAGCTGGTCGCAAAAATTTGTTGGATCTACTAACTGTTCAAATTTCATAGTGATCTAGTTCTACTACTTACAGAGAATTGATTCCATCATTGTTACTTCTTATGTTGAAAATCCATGGTAAACCATTCCAGAATTAAAGATTTGTTCTTCTAATAATGTCAATCGACAGTAATTCATATGCACTTAACACTTTAAAAACAGTAACTGGGGCCATCTTATTTCAATTACTAAATTCAATAAAATACATACTACAGGGTGTCATTCCATCTACTTAAATTTTTGTCTCTCAGATTTTGAACAATGGTATCCCTGTAGCAACTACCCATCCTATTGCATCCGCCTGCCCCCCACCCCCCAAACAAAAAAAACCACAAAACACCCACATATACACGCAAAGCCCCGGGTCCAATCTCTCACAAGCCCAGCAATATCAAGTTTGAAGAATCACCAAGAATCTATGTTGAGAACATGGGAGAAGGCATCATATCGGATCAATTGGAGAATCCATATTATAAGAATACAGCTATGAGGTTAGATGTTAAATCTATCTCCCTTGGTTCCAATTTGTCGTATCTCATCTACTAAGGAACTTGATAAAACATAGGGGACATCACTAGAATTTTGATACCATGATACAGCTATGAGGTTAGATGGTAAAACTATCTCGGTTCCAATTTGTGTGTCTCTCAGCTACTAAGGAACCTGAGAGGACATAGGGGACATCACTAGAATTTTGATACCATGGAAAAATAAAAAAACATTAAAATGCTTTCTGGCCTTGTATATCTGTGGAAATACAAGTACAAAAGCATCCTTTTAAAAAGAAATGACGAGAAAAAGGTACACTTACATACAAAGTAATTGACGTATAATGAGGCATGCATAACAGTATACATTCCTTCACATGGGACTAACTCTTTCCTTGACCCAGCTTCTAACAATCCCAGCTCAATCTCTATAAATATCTCTATACATATAAGCTTTATTGAAGAAATAAAATGTGAAACCTTCCCCATGCAGACCTGGTGGATTTACTTTATTTCATTAAAAAGAAAATAAAATAACTAGTGGATTTACTTGTAACCGATATACTATATGTATTCATACCTTAAGCGATGAACCCAATTCCCTCATAGAAGTGGCCAATGACTGTTTACCAGGAAGAGCTGTCAATGTGTTGCTAGAAGCATCCCAAGACTTTCCTGCAAATTAAACAGAAGGCATTCAAATTTTATCTAACCAACTACTGGTGCTCATGTTTAAAGGTGGCCGACTTAAAGAGAACTGAAAAGTTAGAGCCGAGTCAGAAACAAGGAACATTAATCATATATGATAAAGATCATGAGCTACAGTGGAACAGAATCACATATCTTTCTGGTGTCTAACAGAAGATTTTCATTAGAGGCATTGTCTCAACAAAATTACATAATGTATTATACAAGGTAACTAAAGGATCAATAACCATAGGATTTTGGTTCCCCTTCCTAACAAAGCAAGCTCCCAATGTCGTTGACGGTACATTGTCCCTCTTGTTCACCTGGCACATTTTCCCTAATTTCTTTACATTTTGCTTAGAAATGTCTAATATCTAACAACTATATATTGCTGCAAAGATCTCCCCCCCCCCCCTTTTTTATTTCCTCCTCCGTCTACCATCCCTCCTCCTCTATCATGATTCTCATTGCCATTGGTTTTTTAATTTGTCATTTTACACCGTTTCCCTGCTGTCTTGTATCTTGCCCTATTCCTTCCTTTTTACCCCTCCTTTCCTCATTTTTAAAAGGCTTTTGAGGAAGAAATATTGCATGAAGAAACTCAACCTCTCTCTTTCTCTCACACCCACCACTAGTGGTCCACTACTCCCAATGTCTCTTTTTCTGTTCATATCTTCATTTCTCCTAATTGGTCTAAGAAGGGTGGGAACCTTAAACTTTCCCTTAACCCGTCCCAAGCCTGGAATAGGAGGTGGGTTGTGTTAGGTAGTAGGCAGCCAAAGTAAAACTTCGCTAAAAATTTTCAGGAATCCTGAATTTACATTATTTTCTTGTGCTAGGGCATTCCCTGTAAGCGACGCGCTTTACCATGAAGATATGGGACTTATGGCCTCACTAAAGGTATGGCCCTTGATAGAGCGAAATGACGGACCAGGATTCGTGCAGCCGATCCCAAATAGTTGGTAAAAGGCTCCAATGATGATGGTGATCTTCATTTCTCCTGATTAATCTTTTTGCTTTTTTTCTCCTTTCCCACCTTCCACTGTAAGTATCTTGATTACTTTCTTTATCTTTCCCATGCTTATGGGAAGTTTTGTCTTTCTATCAAGGCTCCTTTCTCAGTCTACATTTCTAGATATGCGGAGTATTTTCATCATTTCTTGCAATAAACAATGAGGAGGATAACTAAAATTTGGGAACAAATCTGAATTTGTGAGGATGGCAAACTAGGAAACAAAGCTTCGGGCTACGCCTAGTGCACAGAACCAAACAAAACAAATGGAGACAAGAAAACAATGTCTCATTACTTGAAGGAAGAAAACGAAGGAGAAAGGAACAAATGAAATGGTCAAGGAGCGAACTGAACTAGGAGAGAATGGAGGGTGGAGACTGGGGGTGTCAATCGACCAGGCTACCAGTTGAGATGACCCAAATCAGCTGTACGAGGGGTACCTTAGACGGGACCACGAGGATGTGGTTAGGGTTCGTTTTCGAGTCCACCCACAACCTACCGAGTTCGGTCCGGATTTGATCTGACCCAACCCAGCCTGATCCCAGTTTGTAGAAACAAATTCAGGTCACCTAGAAACTCGCTAGGTCAATCTGACCAAAACCAAGACCTGGACCTTGCAGGTACGGTCCACTTAGGTCCTAATTGGATAGGATCTAGGGTTAGGGCTAACCTGACCATGACTGACTTGTTTACACCCATGGGTGGACAACATAAATGTAAGATAAGTGACTTAATGAAGGTCAAAAAGAAAAAGACGGTTGAACTAATAGAAGGTGAAAAATATCACATTTATGGATATATCTCTCAAAATTGACTCAAAGGAGAGCTAACTCCATATAAAGAACATAATAATCCTTCACCAAATTAAACACTAACTCCCGTTCCAAAGAAAAAAACACATATATATGCAGTTTTTGTAAAAAGAAGAAATAAAATTACACATTAAGAGGCCAATGTGTTCAAAACCGCAATGCAGCGCCCAGGCTATGAGACGGCCACCCCTTCAACGGATTCCAGGCAACAGCCAAAAGTTTTAAGTTGTAGATATTTGAAAAGGGTACCCGTAGCCAAGGCTACATCAAGAACCATGTGGTCTCAACTAATTTATCCTTTTTTTATTAGGTGAGGACCCCCAAAAAAGCTCCAAAATTCCTCTAAATCAATCTCCACCTTAAAGATTTGATTTGGAGCTTCAGAAAGCCCCATATCTCCCAGATCTATGGTCCGATCAAATGGATGGCTCAGATCTGATTTTAGAATGGCAGTGGATTTGTAGCCCTTCTAGAGCTCCATATCATTTTTTTGGAGGTGATTTGGAGGTGTTTGACTCTGAAACTTTTCTAGGTGGCTCAGGCCATAAGAGAAGTTGTGAATGAGGTAAGGCCACATGCATTTGGTGCATAGGCAAGACTATAAAATATTATTTCCATTTAAATATTAAAAAAATATTTTTTGTCAGCATAGTATAGGGGCTGACAAGAGTCTGGGAGGTTGTCAGGGCGTAGGCAGCAAGATCTGTCATCTCGTGTCTAGGTTGACGGTAGGTGAATGCCTGGCCACTTCGGGATACATTGTTGCAGGTACTTTAATAATATTGACTGCAACCTAGACTCCATCCATGTTCGTGAAATGTTCGCTTAAATTGTGCGTATCTGTCTGTTAAAAAAACAAAGAAATGATATCTTCTTTTAACTTTCAATGCAAGTACAGTTATAGAGGGCTACTTATCAAAAATATTAGGCCACAGATGGTAGAATCAAATGGTAAGGATGAATGCATAAGACGGGATACAGACAAACTCATATATAATTAGTACACATCCTTGTCATTACACCGCATCTTAACAAGGAATACTTCAAATGATTAAGAATATTTAATTCAGTCAATAATGGAATATTTACAAAAACCCAGCCTTCCTAAATTCCTAAGCAGACATTAATAGTAACATTTCAAAAGAGAATGCAAGGAATTCATGTAAAGTTATGAATAAATAAATAAATAAATAACATAATGTCATAAAGTAACTTACCTAAGAGCAAGTATGCATCAGGGAAAATGGACTGCCCTTCATCCAAGGCAAGCTGCAAGCCCAAACACCTTTAGGTAATATAAGTAGAGAAAAATGAATTAGAAAAGTTATATATGTTCAATTCTTTATTTTCATGGTCCACATGTTTGATGGTTTTAAAATTGGATTTAACAGTTTACGATGGTTTATGTTAGTTAACTGTTAAATCATACAAATAAGAAGGAAACATTTTTCTTAGCTATATTTTATGCGACCTCTGTTTAAGGAACTTGGTATAGTCTGGTTTAAAAACTTGGGAATGAGAAACAGACTCAATTGTCTCGGTTCAGAACCTAGTTAACTTTTTCTGACCGGCCATTTTACCACATCATATAATCTTAAAAAGAAACTAGGCTAAATCTAATGAAGTCAACTTCACTTTGAATCAAGCCCAGTCTTGAGCCCAGTTGAGTTTTTTAAACTTTGTATCCAAACCAAACGGTCATCAATTTGACCGTTTATGAAAATTTATGAAAAAGAACAACTAGAACAATAGGAAGACCACTGCATCAATTTGATGTTCCCAAGAAAGGAGAGAATGTAGAAGTTCTCCCATAACATATTGCGGATAGTAAATATTTATGTTTCAACAATAAATGCCAATGGATATAATTAGTTACTTACCAAAGAATTCCAAGAACTCCAAAAGTGTAAAAGACAGATTCCCAACCGAAGTTTTGGATAAACTGAGGTGCCACTAATAGCCTGCACAATAATATATTACAAGCAAATAAGTATAAAATGACAATAATCGTGGAATGGAGTATGTATCCAACTGAATGAAGATTAGATGAGCACTCCAATATCGTTTTGATAAAAGACTAAATTAACGGAAGCATCATATATAAAATTAATACAACAACAAAACACAAAAAACCATGCCCCATTATCCTATATATTGCAAATAATATAAAAGAAGAAAAGAGACAAAAGGGAAGAAACACCCACATATAAAGGGAAATCAAGGGTATGAGCAGTATCTCGTGTTTGAGAACCGAAGTTGGTTTCCTTCTATAATCCAACACAATTCAAGGCAACAAATCTCTTGTTTAAACCATAGTTACCGGGATCTCCTCCCTTGCTTGCCGATCCCTTGCAGAACCTCAATTTTGTCAATCCCGAAGCAGATCTCATCTGAAACTCAATTTAGTGTTTTCGGGATCTCGCTCCATTTTATAAGGGAACGAGTTTCTTACAATTTAATTTCGCGTTCCTGAACATTACAGGATCTAGTTCCCTAGTCTTATGGTTCGTGCTCCAGAGTGCATTGGGATCTAGATTCTAAAATAACAGAACACAAGCATCGCCATATATGGCATCCAGATCCCACCAATATGGGATCGCTTTAAAGTTCCTTATTTATTTCATAGAAGGACTAAGCGTACATGTTATTGGTTAATAAAGTCGGTAGCTACATTTTAAAGCCACAGATCCTTATTACCTACACGAGGAACGCGTGTTCTAAGAAAATGGAGCTCGCTCCTATAAAAGTTATTCCTCGCTCCATAATATTTAGGATCACTTTTAGTAATGCACTCATTGAGTTAAGAAACTAAAAAAAAATGCCCTTAGAAACTTCGCTTCTTATGTTTATATAATAATTCTCGATCCTATGTAATAAAGGAGCTCGATCCCCAACACACATGGACCTCGATCCAGACCTTTGAGGCTGTACGAGTATCGATCCCTAACACAGGGATCTTCAGTATAGCATCGATCCGTCGATTCCGCCCCCGATCCCAGAACCGTTCCCGTTCCCGTACCCAACAACTATGGTTTAAACATATGTTGACAAAGAGCAGCTCTAGCATGCAGGAGAGAGACTTATGGGATAAGAAAGGAAAATCTATGGAAGAAAGGCAAGATAATTTTCAAAACATTTTCATAATCCAAAGATCTAGACATTTAAGGAACTAATCCAACAGGACCCCATCTTGAAAGAAAAGTCAATGAGATCATCTCCACTAAGATGTGACATCTAAACCTTTACAACAATTTAGCCACCCATCTATAATTTCCACACAATATATGAAGATACCTGAACTGAGGTGTTCCAAAGAGTCATCATGAGAATTAATATTATTAAAACCACTCACCATCAGAGGCTACCAAGAAAATAATATATCCAGTCATCAGAAGTTCTATATTTCTATGATAAAATCATATGAATTGCAATCCCCATGACCATTTTTTTTTTCAAGTTTATTATTAAAAGAAGAGGGTTGTGTATCACATTACATTGCCAGGCACCAATAATCCATGACAAGTATGCTAAACATACTGGGATCATATAACACCGATACTAAGAAAGTAAGAAGGGATACTCAAGATACTTGTAAATGTAAAATGAGGTAACTGCAAAAAAGTACAATAAAATGTAATATTTGCAGTATAATAAGGGGGGGTGTGGATGTATGTATATTAATGTGTTGGATGCATATATTTATCTGATAACTACTTATTCTTATACATGTCCTAGATTTCAAGAAATGCTTTGCATGCCCACTCTTTGTAACTGTGTCTGTCATATTTGGGTATCTTATCTAAGTACAAACAAAAATTGACCCGTATAGAAAAGAAAGTCAAGAGTCGAGAGGATTCCCCAAGCATTGAGTGAATCTCTACCACCTTCAGCTCTTACGTTAGCTATTCTCAAGCCATGATGGAGAGAGACTAGACCACTACTACAATTCTTATGGATCTTTTCCATAGCGTTGGGTATCCTTCATGGATTAGAAGGGCATTATAATTTTAACTAACGATGTTTCCACAAATCACCTTCCACCACTAGCAATTCCAAGGAAATTTATTTTTTTTTGGGTAATCAATTCCAAGGAAGTTGGAGTGAAGACCTTGAGATCAGTCAAAGGGGCTGTGGCCTCAGCATCCACAAACCCAACCCCAATGAAACTTCCATCTAGCCCCAAGAATTAAACGAATTTGATGGATGTAATATTTGCTTTGCAGTAGGCTTATTCCTGCACAAAGTAAGCTGTGCAATGAACTTCACCCATCCACTCATCTCTCTACTAAAAGAGACAAGCTACCACATATTGTCATAAAAAATGTGGCAGCATACTTTTGAACAGTGTAGAATATAGTGTAATCAAGAAAATCAATTTATTATCACCAATCCATTTCGCAAGAATTGAGTTATGAACTCCATGAAGTTCAACCTTACATCACTCAATTAATGGTCAAACACATGACAATTAGTAAAGTAATTAGTTTCAAAGATATTTAATCCTTGAAATAACTAAACTATAATGTAAAAGCTACAATTTCAGCACAATCCTAGTTTATAAGGCACTTGAAAGTGTGCACAAAAAACACTCAAAAGTTTTGGTTTCAGAGCAACACTAGACTACATTCACATCATTTCTTATATGATTAAAGTCTGCTTAGACATCCATGCATTTCTTATCACTAGATCCCATTTCGTCCATCTATATCATAAAGCCAGTAAAGTAAAATTCAAATCTAGTTCATGTGTATCAAGAAGCAAACAAGAAAGTGATGATATTCTAAAATAATATCATAATATTCAATTTCAATTCCCTCGTGACACAGAAGATAATCAAAGCCGTAATATCAGGAATTCCATGAAAGTTGGAAGCATAGAAGTACACAATTACTTGCATTACAAGTTATAATTCAACAGAAGAATAATAAGAGGAACATAGAGCCATCACAGGATTCAATCAAAAGCAAGAAACTTCATACACTATTATAAGTGAGATAGGGTACTACATATTCTCAAGTACAATGACAAGCAAACTAGCACATACCCTACAACACTTCCAATGCTCAATCCCGCAAAAACAAATGACACTGCTCTGGAGCGCTCCTGTAACGGCACTGACCTGGATATAAGCAATAGTTAACAATTTTCCACATGATCAACTAATCAAAATCATAGCATCCTGGGATAAACATAAAAAGAACAGAAAAATCCGAAGTATATGGCAAACTTTGTAACAATCAGAAATAGATAAACAAAATTTTTGTCTTAATTCAATTCCTCAAGAAAACAAGGCACTAATGCCACACCCAAAATAGTGTCAACTGCATGAGAACAACTTTATTAAATCCACAAGTCAACCAGATTTCAGAGAATTTGGCAAGGAAACAGATTTAGCACATGTCATGGATCCTAAGACACGTTGGAGAATTCCAAGCAAGGGTTCTGTATAGATGCTAAAAGGGAGTCATACTTCATGAATATTCAACCAGAAGAAAACAATGTCTGAAAAGAAAACAATGTTTGAAAAGAAAACAATGTCCAGTGCACTTTAGCAATCAAAGATTAATGGAATGACACAATCCATGTGCACTTTAGCATATCAATTCAAGTATGAAACTTTAAAAACCTGCATGGATGAGAGACAAGTTTATATGGACATCTTGCCTCGCAATGAGGTCTGTTGCAGCTGAAGGAGAGACACCTTCTCCTATGCCAACCTGTTATTCAAGAAAGAAAGTAAAAGCTTTAGTGCACCTCCATATTAGCAAGACAGAAACATAGCTTGACTATATACAATCTGATATTTGATGACATAATACTTCTCTAGGAAGCAAAGTATGAGAAAAATGGCAAATGATGAAGTAGTAATTACTTGGAAGTCTTCCCGGGTTCCTCTACCCCTTGCTCAACCCAACCCCTAAGCCCTCTCCATCCCCACTCTCCTCTCCACCCCTTACAGAACCTTTCTCCATTCCTATGGCACACCTCACCAAGTCCCTGCAGCTATCGTTAGTTGGTCGCTTCTACCCACAGCAGAAAGACATCAAAGGTATCCATAGGTGGGCTGCTGAATCTTGGAAGGTCTCAGAAGTTTCTTACCGGAAACTCTCCTTGGGTGACATCCTTTTCTCCTTTCCATCGGAGGATCTCCTCAAGGCGCTCAGGAACCAAAACGGCTGCATCCATGGGGCATCCCTAACTCTCAAAAGATGGCACAAGGAGTTGGGCGCTGTGGAACCAAAACAGTCGCGTCCATTTGACTCTTTGTCACCCACATACCTCTGCAAGCCTGAAATGTCGATACTTTCAAAAAGATAGGTCAGGCCAGTGGGGAGTTCATTTTAGTCAATTGGAAAAAACTACCTCCCTACCCTTGGGTTCCATCCAACTCTTGGTAGCAACTCTCTCCTCCCATCGCACATCCCTCCTTTCCTCTGGCTGGAAGTAGACTAATTTTTTTTTCGCATTTCCTCCTCTTGGTCTTCACCATTCCCTCACCCCTCCCGCCATATCGATGATCACGACTTTCTTGTTCCCGGAATACAGTCGTTGGAGCACAATAGTTCCCGTTATTTGCTCCGCGATGTGTGGACCATTGTAAGCCGCAGGCGCCCTTGTCGTACCAATCATTACCGTCACTCACATAATCGAATGGTTAGGCAAGAGTCTAACATTATTGGCCCCAGACAGAAAGCTAAGGTGGTGCCTCACATGCACTTGCCAACATCTCTGCCCACCCACCCCTGCCACGCACGGTCTTGCCAGGCCTCTCCTTGGCTGCCACAAACCAGTCATCCGGTGACCACGTGCCACTATCCCTCATTGTTCACCTACAAGTGGCATGTAGCCCCCCCGCCCTCGCTGAGATGTGTACCGTGCAAGCCCCTAATCCCGAGTTCTCGCCTTTGCCTGCTTCACGTACTTCATCCCCCGCAGGCCATGTGTCCCTTTCCCCCTCATACAATCAGGAGGCCACGTGCGTACCGCTTGTACCTCCAACCCAGTTGACCCCTCTTCCATCTCAACCACCCATTTTCACCTCGATAACCAATCTCGAGTCCCAAATCCCTAGCGCCTGTGTCTACACCTGCCAGACGGCTCCTCTCGCTCAGCTTTTGGTTAGGCTTTTCCTCAACTCCACTTTTTGTGTTGGGTCGGCATCATCTGCTCCCTCAATCTCGCCTCGTAACGGCTTTGCTCAATGACCCTCTTCTCTTCCCTCTGAAACTCCTCCCCCACCATCGACCTCCTGCGAATTTGCTAAGATGATCTTCTCCTCGTCACCACCCTTCGATTGCACGGAACCTGGCATCCCACCCCCCTCTCCTCCTCACTCCCTCCCTCCTTCCCAACAACCCATCTCTTATACTTTCCCCTGAGGACTCACTCAACTCCAAGTGTTGCAGAAAATTGCTAGCAACAAATGATATTTTTTTATTCAAAATTCCCCATCCCTCATTACAGCCACTATATACCACTTTCATAAACTCAAAACCTGAGTTACCATGCTTCCAAACTCCACATAATCAAGTCTATGTACATTGGATGACCAAACCCACCTTTGGAACTGTTAAAACAATAACTACATGTAGAACTAACCTACTACAAAATACATTAACTTCAATGCAATACTCCTATTTTGCATACAAAATTTTCCAAAGCAAATATATCCATGCACATGCATCATGCAATTCCCAAGTCTAAGGTATCAATCAGGCAGACTGAGCGTCCACCTTGGCACTTAGTAGGAGCGTAGGCCCAGGGTTACAATCACTCGCCCCAAGAGAAATTTGGCTACTCTAGGACCCCACTCTACACCTCCCCCCCCCCCCCACCAGTTTGGTGTTTTAGTGGTGGTGGGGTGGGTGGGGCGGGGGATTTTAATGTCACAAGGTGGTCTCATGACCACAGTTCCAATCATTCCATCTCCCCAGACATGGTTCAATTTTCTGACTTTATTTTTCAGAAAAAACTCATCGACATCCTTCTTGAAGGGGCACAATTTACTTGGTCCAACCATTTTCTCAATCCCTCTCTCTCTAAGCTCGATCGGTTCCTGATCTCATTGGATTGGACCAATTTTGCCCGGGAACCCATTTTGTGGTAATGCCCAAACCCACTTCAAATCATCGAACCATCCTCTATGACACCCAAGCCATCTCCCGGGGACCCAAGGCCTTCCGTTTTGAGCTTTCCCGGCTGGAAGAGCCCAATTTTGATGACCTAGTGAGGCCTTGAAGGGATTCTTATTCGTCTTCAGTCCATGGTTGGCCTAGGTTCCAACTCTAAAGGAAACTGCAGCTCCTAAAGTCCGACTTGAAGCGATGGAGCTCCCAACTCCCAATAAACTTTCGTTCTCAAAAAGAGACCCTACTCCACTCCATTTAATAGTGGGAAGCTACTGAGGAGTACAGAGGCCTTCTCCCAGTTGAATGGGACCTTCGTTCTAAGACTAAACTCAATTACCTTCTCCTCCTTCGCAAGGAGGAAATCTACTGATCTCAGAGGGCAAAGGTCCAATGGCTTAAATTAGGGGACCTCAACACAAGGTATTTTCATAAGGTCGCCAACTACAAAAGGCACAAGGATTCCATCTCAGCTCAAAGTCAACAACGCTATCCTTGATCAACCAACTCTAATTGAGCACGCTGCAGTCCACTTCTTTTCTCGGCTTTTTTCCTCTCCTACTGGTCTAAGGCCCATAATGAACAATCTAACTTTCCTCACCCTCCCCACTAAGATATCTTCTTAGCTGGAACGCGAATTTTCAAAGGAAGAAATCCTCAAAGCCTTGATAGAACCGACAAAGCCTCTGGCCCAGACAAGCAACCCCATAGCCTTCTTTAAGACTTTCTGAGACACCATAACACCAAATGTGGCCCATTTCTTTTCTAAATTTCACGTCCGAGGGGTCATCAATAGAGCTATGAATGTTACTTTTATCGCCCTAATCCCTAAGATTGAAGGGGTGAAGAAGCTCAAGGACTTTAGCCCCATCAATCTAGTGAATAGCTCTTATACGTTGTTATACAAGTGCTTGCGTCTAGATAGAGAGTAGATTGACAGTTGTCCTCAATTCGGTTATCTCTCAGGCCCAGGGGCCCTTTGTCAAAGAGCGCTAGATCTTAGACGGGCTCTCATAGCGCATGAGTGCATTCATTCAAGCTCTGTTTCTGATATCCCTGGTTTGGTCATTAAAATCGATTGAGAGAAGGCCTACAACCATGTAGACTGGTTGATCCTCGATGAGACGCTCAAGAGAATGGGTTTTGGACCAAAATGGAAGAGTTGGATTCAAGGTTGTATATCCAATCCCGTTTTTTTGGTATTGATCAATCGATCCCGAACAGCAGGGGTCTCTGCCAAGGAAACCCATTGTCCCCTTTCCTCTTTGCCATTATGGCCGAAATTTTCAGCTCCTCCATCTCAAGGCTTTACCAAGAGGGCCCTCTAAGAGACTTCCAATCTAGCAGCCAAGACCCCAACATTTCCCACCTACAGTATGCAGATGACACTCTGGTATTCTGCGACTCCTCAGCACAACAGGTTGACACCCTTCTCACTTTCCTCAAATGTTTTGAAATGGCCATATCGTTCAAGGCTAACCTAGCCAAGTCCAAGATGATAAGCATATGCACAGACCCTGGCATGTGCAATCCCTAGCTGACAAATGGAGGTGCGCAGTCAAAGATTTCTCCTCCATGTACTTGGGCCTTCCTTTAAGCCTAGGTTTACCTCGCTGCTCCCATTGGAAGTATTGTTGATAAATTCGACCGGAGATTCGCTGGTTGGAAAGGTTGAGTCCTTTCTAAGGCGGGTAGGCTTACCTTGATCGTGGCCACTCTTGCTAATACCCCAACATTCCAGATGTCCCTTTTTCATATCCCGACCTTGGTGGTTGCAAGGTTGGAGCGAATGATGAGAGAGTTCTTTTGGTAAGGAGAACATGCAAGAAAGTTTCACCTCATCTCTTAGCCCAACTGCCCAAAGCTAAAAGGGGGTTGGGCATTCACAATCTTAGAGCCCACAATGCAACCCTCCTAGGCAAGTGGTGTTGGAGGTACCCCACTCAACCCCAACACCTCAGGAGGGAAATTATCCTCCACAAATATTGCCATGGCAACAATAGTAGGTTTTCAGACTGTAGATCTACAGGCAACATCTCGAGATTTTAGAGGTCAGTCCGTCGTTGCAGGAACCAATTTCTCCAAACATATCAATGCAGCCCTCCTAAGCAAGTGGTGTTGGAGGTACCCCACTCAACCCCAACACCTCGGGAGGGAAATTATCCGCCACAAATATTGCCATGGCAACGATAGTAGGTTTCCCGACTGCAGATCTACAAGCAACATCTCGGGAGTTTAGAGGTCAATTCGTCGCTGCATGTTCGTCGCTGCATGAACAAATTTCTCCAGACATATTCGCTTTTGCCTGAGGGAGGGGAACATGATTAAATTTTGGACGAACACTTGGATGGACCACGCTCCTTTCAGGGATCAATTCCCTAATCTTTTCCTACTAGCTCGCGATTGCATGTCCTCAATGGCTGAAAAATTCAGTGGCTCGAGGGCGTCTAGATCATGGTCACCAAACTTCAAGGGGTGCATTGTTGATCATGAGTTAGAAGAATTTACAAACTTGTCAGACTTAATGCTCTTTGTTTTCCTTCCTCCTAACAGAGAAGAGAGGGTCATTCGGGCACCAATAGTCTCTGGATAATTCTTGGTGTCCTCCTTCTTCCGGTCCTTAACTGTTTTTTACTCTAACCCTGCCTCCACGCCCCTTACCCTCACCTCCAAAGTTTGGTTCTCTCTCATTCCCCCGAGGATTCCAGTATTTTGCTGAATTGCACTCCACAAAAGGGTACTAACTGTAGACCACATCAAAAGGAGGGGTTTGTCTTGCCCCAACAGATGCGTCATGTGCTTGGACGTCGAAGAGTCAAACGTGCATCCTTTCCTCCACTGAAAATTGGGTCACAGCTCTTTGAACCGACCTACTTCAACTTTTCAAATGGTCGTGGGTAACCCGTAGTTCTATTCCAAACCTATTTCAGGCCTTCCTCTTCACTCCATGGCCCAAGGCGAGTAGGCTTCTTCGGAAAGCCTTTGTAGCTGCTACAATTAGGGTGTTATTGAGAGAAAGAAACAATCGAATCTTTAGGGGTGAGCATTCCACAGTTGCATCCTTGATCAAGAAAGTTAGGAAACTCGTTTCCTTTTGGGCTAGAAACCACAAGCTCTTTAAAGACTATACCCATTTTGAGCTCTACAGCAATTGGGAAACCATGTTGCTCCTGGCCCCTCTAGAATTGCTCGGGCCTCTCTTTAGAGACCGTAGAACCTGGCTCCATCAAGTTCAATTTTGATGGTTGCTCCCTTGGTAACCCTAAGTCCTCTGGCATAGGAGGCCTTTTCAAAACATATGACAAAGTACACTCTTGTCCTTCTCCCATCCTATTAGTCTAGCAGACTCTACTCTTGCTGAGGCTCTTACCCTATTAAAGGGCCTTCGCAAGTTTAACCCCTGTTGGAGTCATGAATTAATTGTGGAAGGGGATTCCAAAAACACCATTGCTTGGGCTTCCAACACTACTCCTTGCCCGTGGCGGCTTGATCACATCTTTGACGAATTACCCATATTTGTAGGGGCCTGAGAGCCTTGTGGAATCATGTCTGTAGGGAAGCCAACACCGAGGCTGACTCTTTAGTGAAGGAGGGAGCCCAATGCCACCAAAATTTCGAGCCTAAAACCCTCATGTTTTCCCCTCCCTTCCTTTTTGTACCTCTGATCACATGCTATAAAGCATTTCTTGGACCCTTTCAGGGCTTTTGTAAAGGGCACCTGGAGAAGGGGTGCCTCATTTTTTGTACATTTTCTCTTTATGCAATATAAGTGAACATTCTCCAAAAACAACTTTAGAAGTAACAAAAAATGTTCTATTCATGAAATATTATGCAAGCAACTCATCTAGTGTTAATGTGTTCAAGGATTTGATACTTTAATAGTCAAAGAGAAGTCCCATGTTCCAATGTCCAATATCAATAACTATTTTCTTATCTTGATAAATCAAATTCCATGCATTCCAGACATTGTTTTCCTAAACTATAAAAGTAATAAATAGATTAGATAATTTCTCACCACTTCACCATCAACTGAAGATAAACCATACATCACCATCATCATCATCATCATCATCATCATCATCATCATAGCCTTTTCCTAATTAATTGGGGTCAGCTACACAAATCCTAGTCCATCATTCCTATTAAGGGTCATATCCTCAGTGAGGCCATAAATCCCCATATCTTTTTTCACTACTTCCAACTATGTTCTTTTGGGCCTACCCCTTACCTATTTTGAGCCTTCCATGTGAACTACTCGTACCTCCTAACAGATGTTGCACTAGGTCTGCGCCACATATGGCCAGCCCACCTAAGTCTACTCTCTCTCATCTTATCGCCTATTGGTGCCACACCTAAATTTTCTCGAATAGATTCATTTCGAATTCTATCCCTTCTTGTCTTTCCACTCATCCATCTCAACATCCTCATCTCCGCTACACTCATTCTATGGGTATATTGTTTTTATCTGCCTAACATTCTGTCCCATAGCGCAAAGCAGGTCTCACAATTGTCTTGTAAAACTTTCCCTTTAGATAAATCATATTTAATGTTAGAAAAGCTATCTTATGTTGAAAATAATTCGGGTAGCAAGAGAGGAAAAGCAAATAAATGCAGGCATACCAGAACCCTCGACAAAATAAGTCCAGGCATAAATCCTGCAACCAAAGGTACTAGTATAGTAGCTAGAGACCAAGCCAAGACTCCAACCTCAAGAACCTTCCTGCATCGAAAAATAGTAAGCATCAAAATATGAACAATCCTTTGTCTACAGACACTGAAACAAATCTTCTCTTAACAAACATTTAAGAAAAAGATATGTAAAAGAGGTGGGTTGTGTTAGGTGGATTGCCAAAGTAACAAAAGTGGGTTGTGTTAAGTAGGCAGGCAACCTAAAACTTTGTCATGTCTTATCATGAATCCTGAACCTATAGAGAAGAACGAAGGAACAAGATTCATTATTCATGTAGCTTACACCAAATCACGGGGATAAGACTTGGGTGATGATGATAATGACGTAAGAATAAGGTATATAAAAGCTGCAAAACTTAAAGAAAGTTAACCAAGAATAACAAAACCATTGCAAAGATATGATATTGGTGAGACTGTGTAAATAGTTTATTATCCGTGGTAAAAACCAACAAATTCCTGAGATGTATTATAACACATTTAGTTGTAGAACAAAACAATGCCACAATCAAATAGAGCTCGCAAGACTAAATAAACCTTCCACCAAAAAGCTTTGCAAGCCATCCACCAGGTAGTTGACTCAAAGCATATCCCCAAAAGAAAGAAGATTGCACCAATCCAGCCACTGAGGAATTCCACCCAAATTGATGTGACATAGGGATAATTGCAACACTTAAGTTCACCTATAAACACACAAATGTGTGAAATTCCGTTCACAAATTAGACACAAAAGTGCGAGAAATCATCCACACAAATCCCATCCAAAGTGTTATACATCAGTCTAATAGATGTTTGGGTGACGTTATTAAACAAAATTCATTTTGTGGTAAGTTCGATTCTGTTATGTTTGATTCACGAATGATAACTAAACAATCAATGGAAATTTTCATTTCTGACATCTGCTAAAGGAGAACCAGGAAGAATTTAAGCATAAACAATAAGACCAACGATATTTTCAATTTAACTTTACTGTAATTTTCAGAGCTTACCTTATCCATGTTACAGATGACAAAAGCAAGAGAAGTAGCCCCAATGAGCTTGTATCGCTTAGGCAAATTCTTCCATGGCGGCCATTTCCAGACATCCAAACCCTCAAAACTACTCTTCTCATCCTCGTTCTTTGAGCTCAAATAAGTTGCCTGAAACTCTTCAGAGTCTCTAAAAGCAGTAGGAACCCTGATTTGTTCTGCGTCCACAATCTCCCTCGCTCCTTCCTTACCTGAAACCCCAATTCTTGAAACTCTACGTCTTGAAGCCCTAATTCCCAACCATTTCCCTGAAGAAGAGTTGCAGGGTTCAAACAAGAAGCGGGGATAGACAGTAGTGTGACTACTGGTACTGGGGGGCGTTGAAAGAGGAGAAGAAATGACTTTATTTGATTTGAGAGAGAAAATTGACGCCATTTTTATGAGTTGAAGGAGTTCAGATGAGGGAAAAGAGAGACAAATTTAGAGGGGGGGGAATTTTGAGAGGACAGCAGAGAGCCACGGGAAAGAAGAGCGTTCTTTCGATTTAAATGGATGGGATGGAAGCGGGATTTATTATCCGTTGATCGCTACCAATGAAAAATGGTTTGATAGGGCTGCAGCCCTATTAAAATAAGTAAAGCCTCACCTCATAACTTATCGAAAATTACGGTTTAATGGAGTCGAAAATTGTAATTTAAGCGATGGAAAACCCATACATCGATCATCTCGGCTTGAACATTATGGTTGTGAAAAACATGAAGATTTCAAAGTCTAAAAATAGTATACATTGTAATAAATTATATAGACTGTTCATTTCACTCTAAAAATAAGTGTTTAACGATCCACTACATTTTTTTAATTTCAAAGTTTATTATCAATATTCAAAATTGATTTTAGAGTCATCATGGATATTTCCGTTGCTCAAAGTGATTTCCAGATATTTGAGGTGAGGCTTTATTTTGTTTTCATAAAGCCTATGCCTTATGAAAACTTCATCATTTTGAAATACTATTTTTGTATCCCCTTAACCAAATCCACCCACTTTGGGGTCACTAATTAGGGAAAGGCCTCTATACTTCTCCTACAGCATTGAAGATCTATGCTTCCCCTATCATCCAGCCGTCCAATTTTGATCAAGAGAGTCACGCACCGTTTGATCTTAAATCTGACGTCTCAAAGTATTTTATTTTTAGTTTTTTTTATGCAAATTGTATGAATATAAAATTTGGTACGTGTCATCTTCTCATTAGGGCGCACCTATAAAAAAATATTAAAAATAATTTTTTGATAAAATATAATGACCAAAATACCTTTTGAATTTTTCAGGAGTATTTTAGTCATTTTATTTTATTGAAATTATTTTTTTAATATTTTTCTCTAGTGCAAGTTTAATAGAGGATTGGACGTCCAAAATGTAGTATCAAAATCGTTTGTAGAAAGAAAATAAAAATAAAATAGTATAAAGACATGACATTGTGATTGGGGCAATCTTTGCCCTCCATCCAGAATATACGGTCAAGTATATAAGTTTTATGTTGTAGAGAAAGTATAGAAAGCTTGGCCCACTCATTAATGATTACATAGGTTTGATGGATGTGACTTCATAAACAAGAATCTCAATTTCGGGAGGTATAATATTAAGACACGATTTTTATGATTCTATGCATAAATGAGTTGACTCTTAAAAAATTATTTTTGAGATGGATTCTCTCATGTAATTTTAAGGACATGTAATCTATAACATGAAAATCATGAAATATTAAAAAATCAATAAATGTTAAGAAATAGAAATAATGATTTTATGAAGAAAGCATTTGAACCGTTACTTTCAATTGCTTTTAAATGGACCACCTATATGCATTCATTTTTAAGATGGATTATTTATACCCTGGGACCGCATATTGTATAAATACGGTCTAGCCTGCATGAAACAATTTTCCTAATATCAAACACTTAGTGTCCATCCAATACATTAGCAATGTTTATTTCATATAACGTTGCTACCTATCTTTCTCTATCTAAGGAGTCATGATGAATTGTGGTTAGCCAAAAAAAGCCTAACCCTCTATGTATTTGTCTCTCAAATTTATACAATTATAAAAGAAAAATGTTTCTATGCTTCTCTTACATTATAGAAGTTCTATCCTCCCCCTTATCCAACCTCTCATTTTGAATTGAGGGCTAATATTGCCCTAATCACAATGTCACGTCTCTACACTATTTTATTTTAAATTTTTTATCTATAAACTGTTTTTACACCAAAATTTGGACGTCCATTCTTTTATTAAAGTCGCACTAATGAAAATATATATAAAAAAATTATTTTCAATAAATAAAATTATCAAAATACCCTTGAAAGTTTCAAGCAATATTTTGATCATTACATTTTATCGAAAAATTGTTTTTATTTTTAATATTTTTTATAGGTGCGCCCCAATGAGAAGATGGCATGTGCCAAATTTCATATTCATACAATTTGTATAAAAAATCTAAAAATAAAATACTTACTTTGAAACGTCGGATCTACAGTGAGTGGCTCTCTTGATCAAAATTGAACAACTGGATAGTAAGATGAGGATAGAACTTCCAAGCCTCTCCTTATCAAAATTGAATGGCTAGATAGTAGAGGATAGAACTTCTTAGGGGAGCAACTGAGGTGCCTCATACTGTTTTATTCAACATTAAAGATAATATACTTTAAAAAGAAAAGCAATTATAAAATCTATTGGCCATGGCCAAAAATGGTGACACGACCCATATCTCAAAAACTTCACGTGAGCTGCACCAACCAATCATTTGTTTCGTGGAGACACACTCACGAGGCTTTTATAGATGCAAAAGCTTCATTGACTTTTCAATGTGGGGCAAATTAGTCTCATTTCTTCACCATGCACCACACTTAGGGGCAACGAAATCCCCCCCACCCAATTGGGTATATATATATATATATATATATATATGGTTGTGAGCGGTTGGGCTCACAAATAGCTATGGATCGCTAGTATTTTCCTATATATATACTAACTACTTCCTCCATTAACAACCTCTCTTTCTCCATTATCATCTCTCTCTACAAACAATTAATTTTACTAAAATTCTCTCCCTCTACAAATAATCAATTCTACTTAAATTATATCTCTCTCTACTAACAACATCTTCCACTAAATTTGTTTCATATAACTTATTTAAAAAATCAAAACTCCTAAGTTAATGCAAAAATTTAAAAAAATAAATTGAATTAGAGATATTCATTTTACTATCCATGTTGCATTTCGAATTTTATGTTGACTATAAAATAAATTTAATAGACCACAAATACTCAACATGAGACAAATTCTCAGTATTTGCATGTTTTGACACAATACTGGAAAACCATAATGCAATTCTTACATTTTTTTTAGAAACCTAAAAACTAGATTTTTGAGAAATTATAGTGATTTTTTTTAAAAAAAATTGAGGTTGAGACCAGCCGATTCTTCGATTTAGATCACCGATCCGACACGTTTTTTAGGGTGGTAATCCGGGTCATCAATCCATTTTTTTTAAAAGCCTCGATTTTTCCCATTGTAAAACTAGATTTTATCTTATCAAATACAAAAAATATACATATACAAAGGGATCACAATGACTCTTGTCCCTTTAAATTTAAAATCGTATGGTTGTAAACATCTATCATTGATTAGACTCAAAGTTAAATAAAATTCTCTAATTTTATGGCACATCCCTAGCCATCCACCCAATTTTACATCTAATAAACTAGAAGTAATTATGACCTCCTTGTAAGAAAGATAAATAGTGTCATGACATACAATAACTAATACAAACACACTAGGGATATATCAAGTGCACACAGGCCTGTAACATTTTCTTGAAAATTAGTAGAAATTCAAAACCGTTTTCAAAAAAATTCCTAAAGATAAGAAAAGGAAAAAGTTTATTTAAGGTCACAACCTTAAAATATAGAATTAAAGATTCACTTCAAAATCTATCGGAAAATGTTGTTTTAATGTTGAAAATCCCTCTAATTGATTATCTCGACATCAAGATGTATGAATATGAAGAAAAAAAAAAAAGATTTTGAGTCCCATAAATAGTGCATATTGCAATACATTAATCAAGACCGTCCATTTTCAACCATTTTTAGAGTTTCAAATTTTATAATTAGATATGAAAATAGATTTTCAAATAATCCTAAGAATGTTTTACACAAAATTTGTAGTTGTGCCTTAATTGGAATGTTTTAGGTTGAAACCTCATAGAAACCACACTACATAGATGTCATCTCAATGTTATCTACCGACACACCATGCAACAATTTAAAGAAATAGAAGAGAAGAGCAAGTGATACTGTATCATATAAAATTCATTTACATAAGAAAGTACAGGATTAGAACCCCTTAGTACCTCATACACAGGAGAATAATGAACAAAAATTGAACATGCATTGAACCAAAACATGGCCAAAACTTCAATGCACCATATCCAACATTCAGTTGATCAGTAAACAAAAAATGGGTGAAAATTACTGCAAAAAGTACAGAAAAAAAATATAGTCGCAATAATGTGTTCAATGGTCTATCATGTATAATTGTTCAGAGTCTGTTATGTGCATTTGCTGCAATCTCTACACTGGTCTTCTCGGTGGGCTTTGGCATGCAGTGACTCAAGAATCACTTTCGTCGCTCTGCAAAGAAAGAAAGATTTCAGCTCTTGCGGTTGAAGAATTTGGGCAAGACCTGGCTTTGACTCACACTGCAAAACATAATTAAATTGAAAAGAATAAGTGATCGCGGAGTTCGGATCAATAACACTGAATCACATGCCGAGTAAGGAGAAATGATCTTATCACATAATGAGATCAGAGAATCAGATAAACAGAACACTTCAATAGCTTATAGTGCCAGAATAACTACTAGAATAAAAAAGATAGACAAGAGAATATTGATCAGAACACATAAATTTTTGGCCTTTATGAAGAGGTCATACATAAATTTATGTGTTAAGTTAGTCAACAAAATGAGTAAAGCTTTTTACTTGTGGACAGTGTCATTCTTCAGGGATCTTTTGGGCTTCTCTATATAGTTGTTTTTTTAACCATGAAGGGCATTCTGTTATGTATATATATTGTCAGGGTGATTTCCCAAATCATCCTTTTTGGAGGAATGTATCACAGGAATCATTTTAATTTTATTGTATGCCCCGAATATTTTTAGAACAAAGTTTGCCAAAACTTCTTAATTTATCAGTGATTTACAAATCCATCAGTGAGTCGATCCTTCAACTCCAAATATGGCAGTAATGTCAAACAAATAAATGAGGCCATACCGGTGGCTTTTTTCAAATTTGTCTTTACTGCTTCTTTATGGGTTCTGGAGATCCCTTTCAACTAGAAAGTGGAAATTTCATGATAATATTTTACCCAGGAGGACCCCAAATAATTGGTATAAGGCTTGAATGACAATAATGATTTTACTCAGGATAGACCTTTCGAGCTTTCCCCCCTTTTCAATTTCTGAAGCATATTATGCAGCAAATGTGTAAAATTACATATTTTTTAAACAGCAACAATGGTGAGATAGTAAATCACAACATTTTTTAAAACCATTATATGTGCTTCGATTATGTGATGCTTATGCATGTGTCATGTGTATCCATTCACATTATCTTTTTCTTGTTTGTCATTTACTTGCTTTAACCTGTAGGCAATGCTTCACAGCTGTTAGAGAGGTGGTTTGCAAGTTTCTTGCTCTTCCTAATACCCCAAATCTAAAATTTTCAGTACTTGTATTTTCTGCATCTACAGTTTTCTCTATTCTAAAATTTAGAACATTCAATGTAACCTAATCATTTTTAATCGGTACAGAATATAGCTATATTGTGACTGATTAGCATGAATGGTAAATGGGAACAACAATGGGTAGTGTGATTTTCAATTTCATGCTGATGAATGGAATAGTTACAGATAATATTCCATTGATGATATAGCAAAAGGAACTTTGAGCAGTCAACAACATGAGAATGACAACCGTTATGGCAAATTAATTCATCTCCTACTCAAAGGTAGATGGTTATTGAACTCATAGGAATATAGTAGTGGGCTTTGCTTGTCCGCCTGGTGTACATAAACTCTATAGCAGCAGAGTTGGCTGCATAGGCAATGAGTGCAGCCACAAGCTGATCATTCTTTACACCCCATGAAATTGAAGTATAAAAATAGATTATCACTGATGCCTTTCAATCAATGGTCTTCATTATATTCCCATAAAAGTGAATTCTCATGTCATCTCTAAGGGGATTCTGAAAGCAAGTAACCTATGTTCAACAATAATCTGCAAAATTGGTTATTAAAAGGCAACCAAGTAACTGACTCGGGAATTTTCTATCAAATATGACAACCGAAGTTTATGGGAGTACAATAGAGCCCAAAACTGGAACATCAAATACTACACAATTGCTATAAATATTGAGCAATTAATGGGCCAAAAATGTGTCATGAATTGTCAATTTAATTCAGCCTTCTATTGAGGTCGATCTCAGAACTTTGATTGCCAAAGGAGCATGAACTATCTTTGAAGTATTCGCTGTTTGGATTCACACTTGAGGGAAAGAAAGCCATCTATATTGATTTAGAAGGTTGAGCTGCTGATGTCTACAAGTAAACTCACACACAAAAGATCTGTCATAATTGACAGTTGAAATTCATGAGTTTAACCATTAACAGAAAGGGGATAGAAGCAAAATACCAATAAAAATTAGAGCCAAGCAAGGATGTTCAATGGATTACCTCCAATACACTGGCATCCATCTCCACAAGTTCTTGAATTTTCTTAAGCTCTTGCTGGGTGCTAAGCTTCTCAGAAATCTGTCGGATCAAACCCAATTCTTCATTCACCCTCCCAACAACAGTTTGCTTTATCGACTGTATATCATCCTCCAGATGCTGCAATCTTATTTGAAGCTGTTGGACCTCAGGCTGCACAAGTGGAAAATCCAGCTTGAGCTCTTCTGTCTTCTCATGATAGCCAGTAGATTGATTTGTAATTGGAACCTCCTCGCTCACTAAAATCTCTTTATCATCTCTGTCTCCATCAGATTCTTTTCTTTTCATAAACCCATTTTTACAATGGTCATCCGGATCAATCTCAAAGCAAGAATCAGTATCTTTGTCCTTTGAACAAGATGAGATATCCACATTGCGCATGGGCTCGAAGTCAGAACCAATCCGATCAAGTATTGCATTATATTCATTCAAATCTTTTGGCCACTCGTCTGTCTCCAGTTCTCGACCCAAAAGCCATAAATCCTTTCTCTGATTTGCATCCATCTCACTAGAGCCAAAACTATCAGTGCCATCATAATTCTCCAAGCTCCCATTGATGGTGCAGGTTGACAAGTGATCAAATATTTCAGATGGGGCTAAACTCATTGCCTGGAAAATCTTAGCAGGACTCTCTTCCTTCCAATCACTAATTCCTCTCAGTCCGATGCTCAATAGCTTGTGCCTGTATGCATGAACCTCAAGTTCTAGAGAGGCTATTTGCATTTCCTTGATGTATAGAATCCTTTCTAACTCTGCAGCCGATCCATGATCCATAACATCCATTGCTTTTCTCCTATATCGATGAGCATCCATCATCTGTGGCTTTCTTTTATGACAGAAAAGTAGACAACCTGCATATGTCAAAATAATTAGCATAAGTATCTGGAATAAAACTTTGAAAACAAAAGGACAACCCATTTGATTAGATAGATTCAGTCGTGTATGAGCATTGTACGACTTACAACAAAAACTTTAAAATTACTTGTAAAAGAAAACTATAAAATTACTTTTAAATTGAAAGGAAGCATTTCACCTCATATTGATATCTAATACCATATAGAATCTGTAAAATAAACTACTAGAAAGAGAAAATAATTCAAAACAATAAATGCACATAGGCAACCATGAAAATTTGGTATTACTAAAGCAATCTGTAAATTTTAATATCATATAAAAACACCCAATCTCGTATGTCAAGGTAATCAGAGGCTTCTGGATATCACTATAGAATAAAAATTATGCAGAACTTTTGAAAGGAAGAAAGGCCATCTCAGATCCTCATTACAATAGCATGGAGCCTGGGGGTTATCACGTTGAATTTTGCCAATTATAGTGATTACTAGAGTGATTCTGAAATAAATTTAGCATTAAATCTTAGTAAATAAAAACCCCAATTTGCTTCAAAGAATTGCTAGGACAACTGTAGAATATACTCCCAAAGAGAGGAACTATTCCACCTCATCCTGGTAATTACATTGTTAAAAAATAAACAATAATTTTCTAAGAAATGTTAACTCCAGAAAAGAGAAAACCTTCAAAACAATAAACTCTACTTGGGTAGTCATAACAACTACTAAAGCAACCCGTCAATTTTCAATCTTAAAAAGAAAAAAAAAACACCCAGTTCACCAATCCCCAATATCAAGACATAGAGCCATAGAATATAATGGTACTTGGAAATTATGTGAATTCAAAAAGGACAAAAAGCCCTCTCAGATTCTTAGTATCAGTATGGGGATTATGGCTAATATAATAAGTATTAAATTCTCAAAGTTAAATCTTTTTTCAGGTTGCCAGTGACTATCAGTAAGACAATAATTATTAAAGAAATTCTGATATTAAAACTTACAAAGGAAAACCCCATTCACGAGATTAATGTAGAGACAATCGATATAACGTGAAGTTAACCAATATATATGGAAAAGTATAAGACCATTTACTTTTAATACAAGGAGGCCACAATCACTATTGTCCATCAAATTTCAAATTGGATGGTTGTGAATGTGCTATTGACTAGACTCAAACTTCAAAAACAATTCTCGAACTTTGTGACACACCCCAAGCCATCCAATTTGACATCTAATGGCTAGTACTAATTGTGACCTCCTTGCATCAAAGATAAATGGTCTCATAGTATACAATCCCTATATATATATAGTTTCTCTGAGATTCTCAAACGAATCAGTCAAAAAGATAATAATAAAAAAGAACCTACTATTGCTGAACTCAAACACGAAATTAATGAAGTAAAATCTGAACTTAATACTTTGAAAAATAGAATTAAAATATTAGAATTAACCAATGAATTAACTGATAATCCTTCAGAAGATGAAGAAATAGAATTTGATAACCTATTAGCCACAAATATAGACAAACCTGAATCCTCAGAATTGAAACAGGAGCCTCAGCTAAATCTAATTAACAGGATATTAAACCAAAAATGGTATACATTAGTTAAAATAATAGTCC